ATAAGCAGCATAGGGCCATCGGATGCGAAGCGCTTGGCTAGAGGGTTGGCCATCAGGCCTCGGAACATAGGTACGTGGAGGTCAAGAGTCTGCGGGTCGATGCCCTTCTTTTCAGCGTCAATCAGTCGTCGTGCAACGCGCTCGAGATATCCAGATCCCACACCAGTGCGGAGGCCTCCCTTCCAATCATCAGACTCGGCCACGGTTACCGCAACTTCGATCACACGACGAGTCACGGAGCCCTTCTGCTTGCATGACAGAAGGGGATCTTGGGATAGTGAGTAGAAGCGGGGCATGAGGGTGTTCAGGACGGAGAGAAGGTGATCCAAGGGAGGGTGAGAGGAAGGGAATGCGTGAAGCAGCTGGGAGACGGTGACGTGGGAGCTGGTGCGCAGGTCACAGAAAGCACCTTGGCCTTGGGCGGAGGAAAGGAACAGGAGAATCTTCTTTTCGCTAGGATCGCTGGCATACTCGCCGAGTAAGCGGAACAGAGCCTTGTTAGGGGCATAACTCTGGATATCAGAGCACCAGCTCAACAATTCTCTTCGGGTCGTGATCAGCTCACGGGGCTGGTCATCACCCCAGATGGTGGGCCAGCGGCCCTTCTCAGTGCGTACGACGATTTTCTTATCACGGATAAACTTAGGAACACCAAGCTGGTTAAAGATGTCATCGACCTCCTCTTCCTTGTTCTTAGGACACACCCCAATGGCACCACCGACTATGAAGTCGACATTTCCACTCTCTGCAGGGTAGTCGGTGACGTCAATGTCAAAGTGATACGTCCGCTTCTCCGCACCTGACCCTGTCAGCTCGCGCGCATGGTACAAGGGCGCCCGGTAGACATTGTATGGTGGGTGAGGCTGGACGAAAGAAGGAGGATGGTCTGCGGGTCCCAGCTCCACATCTACTGCGTAGCCTGGGACGGACGAGAAGGAGACCGTCTTCTCGGGCAAAGGAGCGACGTTGCTCAGCTCGCTGTCCAAAGTGAGGTAATCGACATTGAGCTTCAAACATTGATAGGCCTTGTTGTCTGGGGGAGTGATTGCTTTCACTCCGGCCAGTGGAGGTGTGAAGTTCACCAAGGGCTTGCTGCGGCAGCATCCACCACCACAGCAAAGCGGCTGAAGCTTCTGTGTACCGCTAGATCCCACATTTTCCAAGATACGTCTCATGTCATCAGAGTTCTGGGAGATGAGCACGGTAGATGCTCGTCGTTGCTTTTCGGGGCCATCGCGAGTGGATTCTTCAGCTTCGGATTGAATTTCAGTGGCAGGAGTCTGGACCCCCGACGCTGTCTCTGAGCTGGTAGTGTCTGTCTCCGGCGAAGACGGCGTGGAGACACTGAAGTTCACATCAGTTATCGAGAGCGAGCGAACGCCACGAGGCTCCTCTGGAACCGGATTGTCAGGGTGGGAGGTAGACGACCGGGGAACAATCGCATGCTCCACATGAGGAACAAGAGACGTCCGCGACGTCACAGGCCTCGACGGCGGCGGTGGAGGAAGAACGGCGTGAACTGCTCGGAGAGATATGATCAGCAATTGTCATGGACATCAATTGAGCAGCAAGCGCGAAGGAGAGACTGTTAACCATACCCATTGCGGTTCTATGACAGCACAAGATACGACAATTGGTGATAGATCGCCAACCTAGAGGAATTGGCGAAGATGAAGGGAGGAAAGCAGACAAAAGTCGACGACCAAGCAATCGCAAGATAATGGCTGGTCAAATGTAGAAAAGAGGAGCCACAGAAAAGGGGATTGGAAACGAAGGCCAGTGGATCGGGTCAGCTGTGGACACCGCAACCGTGATGGAGACCCGAATCAGACCAGCAGCAATCGGAGAGAACAGGTCAGCAGTGGGCGAGGTTGATGAATGGTCGAAAAATGGGGGTGGAATCGAATTAGACGGGACGCAGTTCGCCTGGGGCAGACGGCACCGGGATAACGGTTCCGATAGACTAGACGACGATGCACATCAGATGGTGGGCGATTAGTCGCAGCTTAGTCGGGATCCTTTCGCCTGTTGGCGTCCTTTTGGCGTACGGAGGATTCCGGTAGTCCGACCGTGAGCGTGAGAGCAAGAGATAAGTCAGATTAGATGAGGGCAGGTGTGCTGGAATTTAGCTGAAACTCCAGTCAAGATAGCTGGGGGGAATGAACTGGAGTTAAGCACGTGCGAAAAAAGAATCAGATAAGTGGCCGGGCTGGAAAGAAGAAGAAAAAAAGAGCCTTGAAGAGACTGACTTGTTTTGTCGCACACAATCATTATTCAATGATGAATAAATGGCACGAAATCCACGGTCGGACTTGCCACTCGCCCCCCGTCGGTGAACCTCCCGTCATTACCGTCTGTTTGTAACTTACTTTACCCGTCTTGTCCATGACCGACGGAAGCGTTTATCCCACGCAGGCAATTTGCTTTTCTAACTCAAGAATGGGTTGAACCTGGAATTCTTGACACATCCTTTTTTTGCCTTCTTCTGATAAGGTCTTCCATGTACTGTGTGACTACAAAGTTATCTCACCAATCAGACCATCCCAGGGTTCTGAACCCCGCGGGGAAACAGTCGAGTTGGCAGCCCGATCTGCAGCTAGCGGGACAATTTACTCGACCTGGTAGTAATTGGAGGCAAATGAATGGACTGCCCTGCCAGCCTAGGTGGATGGAATCCTTATCCCGGGTTGGATATGATATCAGGCTTGCGTGAGATACTAACCACCTCCCTAGCTAATCAGCCATTGTTTCACCCACCTCCATAACTGCCTGTGATCACTTGCCGCGACCGCATTTAGATCGTTCATCCGGCCATTTGCAAGTGGCCTGACAGCGGCAGTCTCTCAATTCCTCTCGTACCGGTACGTAACATCGCAACAGCCGAGTTACGTTACCGATCTAATCTGATCCGGTCTCACCCCCCTTCAAGGCCAGGATCGGTCCTCGGTTAAGCAAACTTGTCTGGTTACTTTTCTCAATGCTATCCAAGCTATGCGATATTTTTGGGCAATCATGAAAATGCACATCGGGATCTCGTTCCGACACCGTTCCCATAGCTTTTCCCTGTATTTCTCGAAAGAGGGAACCAGGACCATTCCGGGTGCACAAACCGCTGACCGTTCACGTGACCGGTGGCCAGTCTGGATACGGATCAGATAACTTTGTCGCGTTCTGTGTCCGGTCATCCGTGTGTCATCCCACCTATGGCTGATAACTCTACTTTTCTCCCATTTCCCATTCACCATTATTGTAACCCCAACTCATCCTGAAAAACAACATAATGCTTTTATTTCTTGGTTTCCCTCGACATACACGCAGCTCAGCTCATCTACTGCTAACACTCTACCATTTTACACCGTACACATCGTGACAAGAAAACCTTCCGTTCACCGGCACCGTGTAACCGCATGTGACAGGTCACCCGGGCCCCGAGTGGGGCACATTCCGACATCGGCCGACGCGTTCACCATATCAATCAAATCAATCAATCAGATATGAAATTTACCCCCTTGAGTAATGACACAAAGGGAAGGGGAACTCCTTCCCGCCCCAATACGGGGAGTACATTGTTGCCAGGAAAGCTCCTCATAATTTCCAATAATAACACCATCATCAGTAGCGCCAATAGCTCCTCACTTTCCAGAACACAACTAGCACGACACCAAAACGTTCTGGAACTTGATATGACCCGTCGTTCTCCATAGCGGGCTGGGGAATAATGAAGATCAGGGGAGAAGGAGGAGGCTAGGGTGAATGGTTGTATGATCTGATTATGATGCAGCGGATTCCGGAATTACGGGGTTTGAGTGACCCTGTGCATTCATTGATTGCCTCTGGCTCATGTTTTCTCCTGTAAGGGGTCACACACAAAACGTGCTATCGCCGGAGAGCCCGATGTAGCAGATGAAGTTGGAATATCGCGCTCTCCCTCTGGTGCAAAGTGGTCGGACAGGTTCAGCCGAGTTCTCAGACAGACAGACACGCTTGGTTTGGGCCTGGGTTCGCGTTACGCAATCAGGATCCCCGGGTACCGAGCTCGATCCGGCACACACACACCCAGCGGGGGCTTATCTGATCGTGCTAGAACCCAAGGCTCTGGGGCTGGATGGAAGGTGGAACTAGGCTAACTATCTACTAACTAGTTGGCTATTATTGACTAGTGACTAAATCGGGTGTGTGGGTGGGTTCCTTTGATGCGACGGCTCTACTGTTATGGGTTGGCGTGGTGAAAAAAGTACGTGTGTCTCCGTACTTTTTTGTTGTTCTCGATGTCTGTGTAGGTGGTTATGCCCTCATAAGCAGATATTCATCCTTTGTATGTTCTACTGCCACCTTTTGCCTTAGTTATCAGGTGTAAATACGCACTCCCAAATCTTCCATAAGCGTCTATGCCGTTTCAATTTCTAAAGAGATTATGACGCCGCGCACGGTCACACACAAAACACACTCTCCCACACGGCAGGGATGACCGATCAGGTATTCATTCCGCCCCGGAGTGCCCGACAGAGATTGACCAGCCGCGTTTCAAGGCTGAGGGAAAATATACCCCTGTCTGATGATGTATTGACATGTTGTTCCGTGGACAAAGCATTCCCGGGAGATGCATGTGTGTCTTCTTTTGCGCGGAGGTTATGGATATGCATTGGTCATGCAGGTAGCATTTCCGCGGGTGAAATGGATACCCAATTTCCGGGGTTTACCCTGACCTGGGCCGCTTTTTGGTCTGTCTTGATATCTAGTAATAGTCGGTTTTAGTGTAGTGTGACTATCTGTTTATGTGGGAGTATGGTGGGGAGGAATGTACTTTACTATATATCTAAGACAGTTTTCTCGCGTTTGTAACGAATGCGTTTTGTACTAGGGTCCCTTTACATAACTGGAGATTCAACACTCGATACGCTTCGATATAAGGTTCTCACGTTGGACGTATGTGCAGATAACAGTTAGTAGACTGTATTGTATTAAAAACAAACCGCGTCACTATACACTGTACCCAGCTTTCACATATCATCCAGATCAATGTCCCGCTTCACCAACGCTACCGGTGCAATGAACTGGTATCTCCCCCAGAAGTAATAATACACCGACGCAAAGCTAACCATTGCCATGTACATAACGATACTCCAGTTCATACTATGCGCATCGACAGTCTTTGTAAGTGGAAAGAACGAAAAGACAAATATCGGAAAGAGAAACGCCAGACTAGCTATGTTGATGGTCATTCCGAACCGACCGAGCGACCACCGTCGCGGTGGGAGCTTTTCTCCGCGCAGTCGCTTCAGCAGAACACACCCAATGGACAGGATGTATGCTGACATGAGCGATGTTATTGTTAGTGAGATAACAGCGTTCAGAGCTAGGTTGGACCCGATATTGATGAGGCTTAAGATCGCGGTCACAACGAGTGAGACGAGGACGGAGTTGAGGGGTATGTTCCAGCCAGGAGTGACCTGCGTGGTTACAACAGGAATCAGCGGTGTTAGTAGCTGTTGCATGGAAGCACTTACGTAGGCAAAAAAAGATGAGAATGGAAGTCCTTGGTCTCGCGCGAATGACCACAGCTGGCGGGATGCTGTGGCTACCTCAGTGATCGTGCTAGCGGTCAGCGTGATGATAAGGATGGCTGTCATGGTGTTTGCTGCCGCGTAGCTACGGGTAGTGTTGTAGAATATCTGAATGAACGGAAATCCAGTCGGACTTTGCAAGATGTTGTTGACATCACCCAGGGTGAAGCACAGGGTAACAATCATAATAAAACCGAGGATACCATTGACACCCACTGCAGACATCATAGCCTTGGGAAGTGTCTCTGATGCGTCCTTGATTTCTTCAGCTAGGTTTGTGTTAGCATCATGTTTCCAGTAATGCAAGAGGCGCTTACACATATGGACTGAGCAATCGTATCCAATCATGGAAGTTATAGTGGTCGACAAGCCGACAAGCGTAGCGGTGCCAGGACTTCCCCATTCGCCTCCATCGTAGAATTCGGTGAAGACAGCCTTTGCGCTATTTCGAGGAGCAAGTACCCATAGTGGGATAATGATAGCAAATAGGCCCACAACATGGATAATGAGTATCAGACCCTCAACCATAGGCAGGTTCTTGGCTAGGAACGTGTTGAATAAGATAGAAAATGCTGTGATAGCTATAACAAGCAGAGTACCGTGCCACCGCTCGAATTCGTATGTTGGACGATTTAGCACTATCAATCCTTGGATTATAGTACCTGCCAGATATGCAATGGCTACAATGGCACATTGCCAGCCCGTTGCACAAAGCCATCCTATTTTCTTTGTCAGACTTGACTTGGAAGAGCGCATATCCTCGACATACCCGTTATATAGCTCAAAAACTTCTGTCCCCTGCGTGGAGCGAATTCTGATACCCAGTGGTATTGACCCCCCGATGTTGGTGACCTTTGATCAAGTATTAGAATGCGCTCGACTCTCCTTCCAGACATTAAGTACCCAAGGGCTGCGAAACGTACATAGAAGCCATCTCAGCTATGCTGGCAAAGACGAGCGCGAAACCTGCTGTGACGATAATGAAACCCCATATTAACCCAGCGGTTCCTCCATCTGTCAGACCACTGGTCAATAACCTACTCATTGATTAGCCAATAATCCACAGTGTCTGTAGTAGTGCTCACGTTAAGATGACCTCCCATGTGGAAATCAACGTACAGCCGAACCCTAGAATCGAGACGAATCTGAAATTCCGCTATCTTGCATTAGAATAAGGCAGCTATAGCATGAACACAGCATCCTAACCCTTAAAACCTGGACACGGCCCAGAGCACTCATATCGCGCTGGTCTCTGATAGTACCCATGTACTTGGGGGCCACGAGGCCCTTTGATGCTTTCTCAACATTTTCAGAGCCCTCCACATGTATTTGCCCTTCAATCCTGCCACTCTCAAAAGCCATGGTATTGAGGGAAGGAGTATATGGCCTCAATTGAACTCGACAAAGTAAGTATTATAGGCATAGACAATGGCCGTTACTATCCCCAAGGATGGTAAGCAGGTGGGAATCACTTAATCCGTGTCAACGCATTCTTGTGGCGCTAGGTCACAATCTTCAGCCGGACACGACATGCTAGATAAAGGCAAATCTGAAACATATTCTGGACTTGCATGTGCGTATTGGTGGCTTTGTAGCGCAGATCAAGTGTGCTTGCTTTTTCTTGTGCGAATCTCGGGATCATTATACGAGCTCGCTGTTGGGCACAATGGCGGATATATCCAAGACATTGATGCCTTGACTCAAAAGTGAGATCTGTTATATAAATCTGTAGGGGCCCTAGAGCTTCTAACTCGAGGCATATATGGTGGCTTTGCCTATATCCCGACTGTCGGGATGAGGATCCCCAGTTTTGATTCCAAGTAAGGGGTAAACAGACGGAAAGGCAGCCAGTCTCCGCGGGGAGAGAAGGCAACCCCCCACGTTCGATCACGAACATGCGCCCATCACCTTGAATTGCACGCGCCTGTAGCTTTAAGCGAGCAATATAAACGTCGATCTCGATATTGATCCTCATTACCACCGCATTAGATATTGCTTTGTCGCCTACCACAAAAATCAAAGCCTCTGCAAAACTGTTGAGCGCAGCGCTGGAACCACCGAAATCAAGCAAGGGTAACAAATGGATTGATCACGGTACGATCTCGGGGTATCCTTTCATTTGAAATACCCTTGTAGTCCAAAGGCCTGAAACCAATCTGCAGGCTAGAGATACCCGAGCCTTCTTGGAGTCATAACATTGTAGAATAATATGCTTTTTGCTCCGGCATAGCCACACGCTGCGTCGGGTTGCCATTTGTCCCACCTGACAGATCGTCATCTTGAACGTGGGCTGATATGCAGCCCCTTGACTGCGCTTGATCGTGCGGTCTAGATCGACACAGAGGGTTTAGTCTTCAGAGAGCTCCCAAGCAATGTTTTGTTTCAAGCAATAAGTCAGTCCATCATACTTAAAGTGATTGCCCATTCTCTTAACAGCCAGGATGAGGCAACGGACTGGCTGATATCGCTCCCAGTCCATGCCCCTTGGCTGGCTAACCATGACAATTTCACTTTTCTCCCGACAGTATAATCCTGGCATGTGGCCCGTGTGTCTGAGAGGCATATTGCTAGACGTGCATCATGTATCCTGATCGCATGCGTGGGCTCTAACTCAGTCACAGAAAAATCAGCCAACCAACCACAAAGATTGCGTATCCTGGAAAAGCAAAAAAGCGACACTACCACATTGTATAAGAACATATCTCCACCATCCTGGTCGAAGCTTTCCGTAGATGATGGTCTTTGCTTTCGTTTATCTGTTCCCAGGATCCGAGAGGCAATCGACACATCCTGCCTCAGCCATAGCATGAGCGGCCCGTATGTCCCACCAGGACAATCTCCCCCATTCCAAGTGGTAGATGATTTGCATCATGGAGCTTGGATTATCATCACTGGAGCTCTGGGCCTAGTCGTATCTCTTGTCAGCTTCTTCATCAGACTGTATGTGCGAATTGCTCTCCATCCGCCGTTTGCATATGATGATTATCTTCTCCTCGGAGCGACGGTAAGTCACTTGATTTCAATACTGGATACTTGTTCTAACAAGTGTTGTCGAAACAAAGATAGTAGCAATCGTGCAGGCAGCGCTCCTATTCGACGCGGTATCACATGGTTTCGGGACATCCATTCATCTTCTGGAACAAAATCAAGTGGACAAAATCCAAACAGTGCGTTTAGGTTACCACCACTCCTTCAGCCACAAGCTATGCCAACATCTCCCTAATAATACCCAGCTTATCACAGTCAGCGACATTCTCTACCTAATAACCGTCTACATCTCCAAATGCTGCGTCTGCGGTATCTACCTCCGTCTTACGCCCCAGAAATGCCATAATCGAGCCTCCCTAGCCACCCTCGCTCTATGTACAGCATGGGTCATCCCAGCCGTTTTCATCATCGCGGTGAACTGCGAACTGAATCGTCCATGGAAAGGTTCTGGGGGCCAATGTATGAATTTGGTATGAAACTCCCAGCATATTCCACAAGAATATTGGCATACCGCCTGCGGAAGGATATGACTGACAACTCGTGATCAAGTCCAAGCGCTGGCAATTCATCGTCGCGTTGGACATAGCGACAGAATTGATCATCTTCGGATTAGCCGTCTTCCTACTTTGGGGACTATTCATGCCTCTTAAGCGCAAGCTGACTATAGGGTTTGCATTCATGTTTCGGCTTCCGTGAGTATCCTTCCTGCTTACCGAGTAGTTCCCTAGCCCCAAACAAACAACGAGTGGCATAGACTGATACTGACACCTGCGTCGCATATTAAGCTTGATAATCTTCTCCGTCTTCCACATATACACCATCCTACTCCTTGTTCACTCCCCGGATCCCACACTAGCCGTCGTCACACCCGTCATCTGGGCCCAGGTTGAACTCAACTATGCTCTCGTGGCGTGCAGTATCTTCTGCCTGCGGCCGTTTATGGCGGCCGTGAGCACCAACTACGGGACGGCGGGTGACTCGAATCTCGAGAGTACAAGTGGAGTGTCGCGGTCGTGGAAGGTTGATTCGTCCAAAGCGGAGTCTGGGCGACAGACTAATTTGAATACTGGGAGGCGATCGTGGAGGATATCGGGGAGATTGGACGGGGTAGGGTATAGTGGGCGTCAGGCAGGTCCTGTGGCTGAACATACTAGTATTGAACTTGTTGAGATGGATGGGCAGCGCAGTGTTGAAAGTGATGGTGGGAGTGCAAGGATGATGATCCGGAAGGATGTGGAATATACGGTTGAGTATGATAGGCGTCGCGATTTGAGTATGTCTGGTGCTTATTGGAGGTAGTGCTAGGCTATTCTATCGATGATGAACTAATGTTGTTCGTAAATGTATATATTGTATAGTATGGGCGCCTCTATATGACTAGCGCTCCGTTAAATGAACCATAGGAAATATCTAGAACTCCTACTCCTTCACAGACTATATACTGATCAGATGGTCTTTCATATGTATAGAGATCATCTGGTGTCAAAGCTTTATCACCGATGGCGACGCCCGTTCGCCATGCATGTTTATCACGGAAAGAACCCCTAGCCGCATTATGTACTTGAAGCAGTTGGACGCTTGAAGGGATGCGCTTCCGTGTTCCTGCTCAATTTTTTTTTTTTTTTTTTAGCAAAATATCCGCATGAAGGATCGGATAACAAGTTGTAAAACTTACAGCACATATTCGTCCAGATTCACGAGGTCCGGCTCGGAAAATATGAGATAAAAGTACTTTAGAGTCTCTGCCAGCCAGAAACTTTCCATGTAGTCCATTTGCGGCGACTCGGGGTCCCGGACATCGGAAATGGCTGCGTGTCCAAATGAGGTCCGCGTCATCTTGTCGATATTTTGAAACATCCTCCACGCAGCATCCTGCAGAGACCGGTCCCCCGTTATACGGTACATTATGAAAACCGACTCAATAGCTTCGGGTCTAAGATGGGATTAGACGGAAAATGCAACACCAGAAATGAGCCAAACAGACATACCGTAGTAGATACTTGGGGTCGGGAATATCAACTACGCCTGGCGGCAGTTTCTTGCCATCCTTTGAGGTGCTTGTGGGATGAGAGCTTTGAGGTAACTGGCAATTCTCATCGTCCTTACACACGGTAAGATGCAAGATCTCTGGCATGATCCCGGTCGGCATAATATCATATGCCCAAATGCACCCATCGACCAACTTCCGCGCGACAGCCAAATCTTCGGGTCGGTCAAACACCTTGGATCCTATGCCGACAGTACCTCCAAGGTAGCACTTAAGATGTTCCCACTGGGGCTCCAGGTTACTCCGGGTAGAAGACCCAGTAACGCGGAGGTTCCCAGCAAAGAGAATATCTCGGCCGTCTTCGGTCATCGGGCGGAAAAGCAGGCGGCTCTTCATCGCCTTCATGAAGGAGTTGTACATTCTACGGTACTGGTTCGTCTGCCCTCCCAGCAGCATGTGCTCTTTCGGGAGGTACTCATATGTCGAGTCAGCCATTCCACCGATGGTGAACCTGGGATCAGCGAATTCCAAGTCCTTAGCATTGACCATCATGGGCCACATCCCAGGTACGTCGGTTGTCTCCTGAGTATCCTCGAGAAAATCCGCTATCCTCTGGATAGCATCAAAGTATTTGGGGTCCTTTGTAAGTTGAGATAGACGCGTGAATTCTAGGTTCAATGATCCGAGTTCAGCAAGTATGGTGTTTCGGCCCGGCTCGATGCTCAGACCATCCGCAGATCTAGATTCCCGTCAACATGGCCCAGCCCGAGTCAGAAGGGTACCCTAGCGACACCTAGATATCCCTTGGTAACCTCCGCATCTGGCTTCACGGGTGTCTTACCTGGTCCATTCCCACCGAGATTGCGGCATCCGATTACGAGTGTCAAAAGAACCATAAATCATGTCCGCAATCTCAACTGCCTTCTTCAGGAGAATCGGATATTTTCCCTGGGTCAAGTCGTAGGCACCAAGAAGCCCGCCCAAGTACCGGATATTGGTCTCGAAGACATTAATTTGAATGGCGCTGGTGGTAGTGAAGTCGATGTACTCCAGCGCTTTCACAGCCTCCTCAAATTCCTCAGTGAGTCCCATAATAACAAGAGTATCTAGGGAATCCACCAAGGTAGCTGCCCAGCCTGCAAAGGTCTCGCGGTGACCGCCACTGATGGGAGAGAGCTCGTCTTCCAGCCAGGCATTGTTCCTGTATCCTTTCCACGCGTGCTGGAATGCCTTCTTGACCGCACGCTGCCTTTTTACCCGTCCCCATCGTGCGAACCACGACTCCCTAGGAAATTTGTGCTGAATTCGGGGAATAGTGGATGGCTCAGTCGAAGGAAGGGGGATGTAATCGGAGATTGGATACTGCTCGGCATGTTTCCGCCAACGAATCCTACCCTCTTTATGTGGAGGGGGGTCGTATGGATTTCTGAAATGGTGGTGGTAGTGTGGTTCCGCACCGGGCGGTAGACTCGAGAAAAGAGCGTATGTGATGCATAGGAGAATGATAGTGGGTAGGAGGTAGCTCCGTCGCGCCATGGTTACGGCAAACTATAGACAATACTTGATAAAGAAATCGCTAAATCAACGAGGAGCAGACAGCAAGAAGGAGAGGACAGCTGTACGGATCACAGCAATGGGTTATATTAATCAAATGAGAGGTAACATCGGAGATGCGTGAGCATGCTCGATGCCAGATTTACCAGTAATCGGGCACGGCGAGTTAACGCCGACGAGATTAAAAAGAGGGGATGGTTCTTGAGTTGGACACCAAAAGACCGACCAAGGCGACGGTTCTTCGCAAGTGCAGCGCGCTGGTACAAACTAGACAAGGCATGGGCACCGTATATACCCTGTTGTCGAGGATCGCCCCTGGTCCGGTCTTTCTATCCCAGTTGTAGCTGGCAAATAAGCATTGGCGCTGCGGTGGAGGTATGTTACATCCGAGCGTTTACTGCTCCATCTTACAAGCGTCTAGCCATGGGTGGCATGTTGATCGAAAAGAGGAGAGGGTGAATGGCTGAAAAGGTTCATTGGCAAAGAAACTTACCAAAGTAAGTAATAGTCGAGCGGAGCGTAAACAAGCAATATGGTGAAAGGATCTGCCCATTGCGTAAGCTAGTGGTCCCTTGGACCCTGGCCAGTCTCAAGGATGACAGAATAGGGAGTGTTAATCCGCCTGGAGTGGGTGCGATTTTCTATTCTTGACCTCTTGACGTCGAATACTCCAAAACTAAGACCCCCTTGTGGTCTCAGCCTCATTGCCCGGAGTATTTGTCCCGCGTCTTGGCAAGGAGAGACATACGCGCGTACTGGGTAGAGAACAGAAAGTGGAAGTGTGTTCCCCTGGATATGCCAGACCCAAAGTCTAGACGGATCTCAGTACGTCGCTGTGGCTCAATCAGAGACAGAGTCGGGGATAAAATGTGAGAGTGGAGCCCCGAGGACCCAGACGGCCCAGGTATTGATTACTGTTGGTACTCGCAGTGGAGGTGGGCCAGTGAACAGCCACAGAAGATGAAGGAAAAGCGAGTCGGAGGTCGGAGTGGGAATTAATGCCAGTTGGGGTCGAAGTGTTGCTGGGGGCGGTGTTTGACCAGTTTGCACCTTTGTGGCCTGGACTCCAAGGCAGTCAATAATGTCTCCAAGTCGTGACGGGTCACATGGCCGAAAAAGCCACGGACAGTCCAATCAGTCCTACTAGAGCTCCGTCTGAGTGGTATAGTCGAAGCAACATAAGCTACTGCTATTGTATTCCTCTGGGTATGTCTAGATGATTTTCCACAAATAGCTCGATCCAATCAATACTCAATATACTGATGTATAAATAGACATAAACGCATTGCACTCCGAATGAGTTACTTGTGCTGCGTGATTACCACCAGACTCACTACTAATTATTGAACCATACTATTGTGATTGGCTCTTACACATCTCTACTGCACTCAATTTCCTTGCGTTCAAGAAGATACCCCTCTTGCTTTCTCAAACTTGGCACGTGAATGCCTTCGTAGGCGCCTTACTCAAGATCAAGAAAAACCATCCATAGAGCTATATCATCTATCAAGAGAACTACCAGTCACTACAAAATGCCTATCACAGGGTAAGCGCTGATCAGTCATCACATATACTCACATCATGCTGACTCCAACCAACCAGAGTCTACTTCATCCCCTCCAACCCAAATGCATCCACAGGGCTAGCGACTATCACAGAGCGCCTACACACAGCCCTAGCAGACGAGCCAACATTAGTAGGCCGTTGGTTCCTCGAACACCGACTAATGCGCGATACTCCATCATGTGTTCCTGCCTCAGCATCCCAGCGCCAAGTACAACCGCGCTATATGCAATTCCTATCACTGTCTTTTCACTCTAACCACGGCTTCATCTACACCTCTGAAGCACTAGAGAAAAGCACTCATCATTCCACCACCAGTGTTAGCACCACGCCAGCTGGCTCACCCACCAATTCTACTGCTCAAAGTGGAGCTCCAGGCGCAACAGCGCCCACCCCTTCCACCCCATCTAATGCTGCTGCACAGTCAGGAGGACCAATGGTGATGACCACCGTGCCGCTTCCATCCTGTAATGCACTTTTCCAGCACTTCGGCTACGCCTGCCAGCCTTTCTGGTGCCATCGACACACGGTAACCGTACCAGGCGGTGTGGTCTACGATGTGGGCGATTTCCGAGTCCGAGTGGGTGATGTACGACAGACTCAGCCAGCAGCGAGGGTGCGCGGAACAGTTGTGGAAATTGAATGGCGGGGTCCGTGCATAGTTGATGCGATTTCAGCACCACGGAATTCGAGCGACGGACAAATAGCTGATGATGGCGACTCCGGGATTGATATGGCGTTCCCGGATGCTATTGAAGACGCGGATATTGATGCAGAGTATGCGGCTATTGCGGCGTTGATTAGGGAGTTCTGGGCGAGACTCGGCATTGAAGGAGCCAGAGAAGCTATTTTGTTGCCGGATGTAGGCAAGGAAGCCAAGGATCGGTTGAGGAGATTGAAGCAGAAGGGCCGAAATACTGTTTCTAACGAGGCGAGTCTACAGCAAGCGGAGGAGGATCCGGATCCGGATGCGGGTGTGGATGTGGCGAGGCAGTTTATGGAGATTTTTAGATTTAATCGGTAAAGATAGCAGACCTCGATAATGAGATCCATGATATAAATTTGGATTATGTAGGAGATTGCTTATTTGAGAAGATGTATGCTCACTAAGCTGGCGGATCGTAGCTTAAAGGGAGATATCTCGTATATTAAGTTCTGCGTGGCATGTGGTACAAGGAATGTACACAATGTGCAGGGGGTACCGTCAAAGAGCACTGGGAACCGGGTTTGACTTAAGGCCTCCACATTTGGTGCTCTTTGTTTCGAACGGGAGAAAGTGTGTGAGAATCAATGAACTAGCAGCATAAGGCCATTGTCTCCTGTCTACATCAAAACGCTCTTATAATACCAATGATCATTATCCGATGCAATCGACTACGAGATGTCGATCGATTAGAATCACGAACACGACATGGGACCTATGGACAATGGTGAAAGGGGTAAGAGGGACAAAGGGTATTATGGAGAGGGACAAAAAACTCTTGCGGGCCACATCACGCAGGAACCCCTAGAAAAGATAGAGCCCTCCCAATCTGACATGTTCAATCTCAGCTCGCTCAAACCAGTCTAGACCTATATGGTCGCCTCTACCATTCCTGCAACATTAGAACCAACATTGGTAATGCGAAGCGCTCGACCATTAAGATGAATAAGAGTCATAGCCAAATGATGAGACTACAAGGGACGGGATGGGATAGAAGATGGGACATTGTGGAGTATATTTCATTGCTCCCCACCCTTTCCGCTAACACAAGACAAATAGAACATGAAGAACCGTTTATTTTTGCATCATGAGCTGGACGAACTCGTTGTCTGGTAGCAGAGTCAGTATGTTATGTTATGAGTATAATCGGGCATGGTAAACATACAGTCGATGCGGCCATCACCGTCCTGGTCCGCCTCACGGATCATCTCATCGACTTCGTCGTCGGTGAGCTTCTCGCCAATGGAGGTCATGACGTGGCGCAGCTCCGCGGCGGAGATAAAACCATTGTTGTCGCGGTCGAAGACCTTGAAAGCCTCGCGGATTTCCTCCTCGGAGTCGGTGTCCTTCATCTTACGAGCCATCATGGTAAGGAATTCTGGCGGCAAAAGTCAATCACAATCCAGCCCGCATTTCCGCCTTACAGGCGTAAATCTAACACATACCGGGGAAGTCGATCGTTCCGTTGTTGTCAGCGTCAACCTCGTTGATCATGTCCTGAAGCTCAGACTCGGAGGGGTTCTGGCCAAGGGAGCGCATCACAGTGCCGAGCTCCTTGGTGGTGATCTGGCCTGATTCACCGATTTAAATTAGTATTATGATCCAAATCGTTCTGGAAAATGCTGTCGAAATCCCGCAGTCGGATCGAGCGCTACAGGTATAATGTGAAGGGGATAGAATTCCACCCACCATCGCCATCCTTGTCCTATTAAGTCCGAAAACACATTAGCATTATGCTCCGGTAAAGATAGCTCATCGATCAGGATGATCGGAGGGTCATTCAGGGAGCACTCACAAAGAGGGAGAAGGCCTCCTTGTACTCAGAAACTTGCTCTTCGGTCAGAGAGTCGGCCTAGACGATGCGATGTCAGCAATCCTGTTGAGAATGCCAGGCAGATCTGCCCCGCAAAGTGGGGGATTTTCAACACAACTGGCCGGGACAGCGAGGAAGAAGGCACATACCATGGTTGATACGGGATGTGATAAGTCACGGGAAGGAAGTGAAGCTGAGTAGAAAGGAAACAGGAAAGCTGGTGGCCTAAACGGTAGCGGTAAAGGGCTGTGGGGGGAGGAGAAGGTGGTGGTGGTGTTGGTGGAAGATGATTTAAGGGGAACCCGAATCCATCATAATAATAAATGACCATTGAGCTGGACGCCTGGCAAGGCGGTCGCTTATGCCTGAAACGTGACCCGCCCTGGCCACCATGTGCCCTCTGCGCCTGGAATCGCTGTTCTGTCCTGCCCGCCCGTCACTCAACTCGCCTCCTTTTGCGCGCCCCTCTCCATACTTTGGTTGGTTGCTTTTTCTTCAGCTGCTGCAGGCTAACTGCATCCTGTCATATCTGCCTTATGAAAATGCCCGTTGCCTAAATACAATCGCTAGAACGGCTGCAAGTTGAGCCCAGCCTTGCATGTAATCTGTAAGTAGGCGCCCTCTGGCCAGTTGCTGACGACCAGCCGTGGATCCCGGCAGTACCAAAGCTTGAAGGCAACAAGTCCCGCCTGCTTTTCACCAGGACGAACCTTGTTCAGACTCTATACCCTGGAACCTTGATATGGGACACTTCTGTACCTGAGTATTCAGTCTTGCAACCACCAAGCAGAGGATAACTCTTGTCCATTCCCTGCGACTTCTACGGCTTTGATAAAGGCGTTCGCAATCAGAACCATAAGTTGTTCCTCATGGCGGCATATATCCGGAGTAGATGCGCATGTTATCTGGGCTTGGCATGCTCTGTAACCAAGCACAGTCGGAAAGTGACAACTTCTATTGCCGACATTATCGTCGCGCGAAGTTTGCGATAGTCAGGCTAGAGCCCTGCAGCCGAATTAACTTCCGATCACGATTTCTCCTGTTTGGCCTGCTAAAGCTGCTTGTCACAACCAGAAAAAATATGCACTTGAAATAGCCCCATTGCAGCTATCCATTTATTGATGCGTCTACTCCTTAGTACTAGCTGTCCACATCTCGTCACATAAAAGGCATCCAACCCGACTACTATATACTCCTAGCAACATCTTAACATCCGAGCTTGACTCCTAGGAAATGCCTGCCCTTTCAGCTCTCCCTAGATGTGTCCGTAAGATGCATGACCAAAGTAGCCAATTTCACCAATCACCACGAAGTATCATATCGAAGATGGAAGATACAAGCCGTCACTCTTGTCTCACAATGCTCCAGTAGCCAAGTAGCATCTACGAGATTCTGAAACAGCGCAACAGTACTCTTGTGGGCAATGAGCTATGGTTTGTAATCCATGGAACGTAGACAGCAATACCACATTATCTGTCGCCCATGACGGACCTCTTACCCTCATTCAGGACATCGTCTTCCGAACATGACCAAAACGATCGAGATGCATAATCTCGCATAATTACTCAGGCATCATCTCAGAGCATCGTGGCTGACGTAATGAATTTAGATCGGCGCGGCTGATACCGCATTAGGATTGGTGCGGCCGTCCCTTCATGTGCAACATGGAGATGGGGAGCTCCGGGAAGTACAGCGGTCCTATCGAATACACCCAACGACACTCAATTCTACGACGCGGAAACGGCCTATACACCTCGCTCCCATACCACATGTCCGGATATTCTGCTCTGAGCCTATTGTGACTTGAATCTCGCTATTCATTCTAACCACATCCCTGGCTGGACCATGATCAGGGTGGCCTAAGAGTGTCCCCGACGAAGGATCACCGCAGACCATCAACCCTCTCTACCTATCCTTCACAATGTGGCGGGACCGTACCAACCTGTAATGCATCCCGGGCTAAGTTATGGTGGATAGCGAAGATAAGGAACTAACAACTATCTCAAAACAGCTACATTTCCTACCGCCAGTCGTTCGCGCATCATCCAGCCAAGAAGCCACGTTATCTCGGAGCGTCCAATGGCTTCTCGGATAGCCTATCGCAGCCCGAGGAGAGCCGACGACTTATTTCAGAAACAGGAGGACTCGACGATGATGGCGATGCAATCATTGAGATGGACGTTTTACCCCCGCGCTGGGTCGACGTACAGGAGGAAGTGACGGAGCTACTTGCGGACATTGCGCAGAAGTCCTCCCACCTCGATAAGCTACACCAGAAACACCTTCTACCTGGATTCGGAGACGAGGACGTACGAAAGCAAGACGAGGTAGTTATAGAGCGGCTAACGCAGGACATCACGCGCGCCTTCCATGAATGCCAGAAAGCGGTAAAGAAGATTGAGACGATGGTACGGGAAGCCCAACAACAGGGTGGAGTTAGCAGCGGCGATGAAACTATGGCCAAGAACTTGCAGATATCCCTTGCTGCTAGGGTGCAAGAGGCTAGTGCTCGGTTTCGGAAGAAACAGAGTACCTATTTGAAGAGTGAGTTTATCCTGGGCTCAGCTGCGTCTGTTCGTTGAGCTAACCGAGTTGCCTGGTAGAATTACGAGGATTGGAGGGCGGATCAGCGCCATTTGAACGGTCCCCGACACCGATGCAGAATCCATACACAGACCCGTCGCTAATGGAATCCGATGCGGACAAGTCGTTCTCGCAATCTACACTAATGCAAACGTCTCAACGACTGACGGGCCAGAACGATGCCGCCATTGAACAGCGGGAGCGGGAAATCAACGACATCGCGAAAGGAATTATCGAGCTGTCGGATATTTTCCGTGAGTTGCAGTCTATGGTTATCGACCAGGGTACTATGCTGGATCGGATAGACTATAATATTGAGCGGATGGGCACGGAGGTCAAGGCCGCGGATAAGGAGTTGAAAGTGGTACGTTTGCGTCCGGTGCAGCCACCCGAAGTTAAGTTTCCACTAACCAATCTGCATATTGTAGGCTACGAACTACCAACGACGTACAGTGAAGCGCAAGATCATGCTCCTGCTGGTGATCATAGTCGCAGGCCTGTTTATCGTTCTACTGGTCAAGCCGAAGAAGCACAGTTCCCCGGATCCCGCTCCCGCCCCGGCGCCGCCACCTCCCCCGCAAACTAATGAACAGCCGCCCGCAATGGCTCCTCGTGCCTTCCATACTATATACCGCCGCAAGAGGAGTCCCTCTTCGTTACGGACTGCGAGAAACAAATGGGGTGATCCGGATATATTTCGATAGTTCGCATTTTAGCGTTCCATGATAATAATAATGAAACTAATTCAAGTAAAGTCCAGCGACGTATCAGTTCCTTTCGAAAAGAATCAAGTAGTACTGCGGAAATGAACTTCGGACGTATTGCTAATCGCATGAACAGTGGATATCCAGATATTATCATAAGAGGCAAGAATTGGTGCGCCTCCTTGCAACAGGAAATGAATAACTACAATTTCAGGAAATGACATATAAGACGATGGAAGAAATTGTGTTGAGAACAACGAATCTTCGGGAAAAAGTTGAGCGAGTTTGCGCTTGCCACCGATCGCAGAGTGAGTGATTGTGATTGGCCTCATTGCTGGGCATCGCCTTCCTGTTTCAAGAGCTCAGCTACATCAGCATCCAAGTCGCCGCCTGCGAACTGAGCATAATCCTCCTCTTCGTGCGTAACCTTGCGCCTCTTGGCATGGAGCCCGTTTGAACCGTCCGTTTGGTGCTCGCCGAGTCCCACAGGAGGGAAGCCCGCCGCCGAAAGAGATGAATCGGCCGGATTTCCGAATCCAGGCAGGGTAAATCCACCTAGTATCTGGGGTTGAGGGGGCACTGCGCTGAAGTCTGATTCCTGTGCGGCCTGCTTGGGAGAACCAACAGGCGTAATAGCCTCAACTGGCGGAGGAGTCAGGGCCTCAACTTCTGGACGAGAGATAGGTTCTCCCTCTGGCCCAGCATCGCCATGGTTGACCGCAGGCGAATTCTCGGCAGAAAGCCCTCGCATAATCCCATCTTCAACCTCCCGTTTGGTGGCTTCCGTCTCCGATTTTCTTTCCGTCAACTGTGCGACCATTGATTGTTCTTTAGATAAAGCTGAGCGATTAGTTTCGAGAAGCTTCTCGAGACCCTCAATGAGTGCAATGCGTGATTTGATCACCTCGGATACAGAGCTTTCTGCATTCGCAAGGGCTTTCAACAACTGGCTAAGCCGCGCCGCATGCACTGGAGGTGTAGGCAAAGGCGTGCTAGGGTCATGCATCTTATCATACTCTGCATTCGCAGCTGTGGCAGACGCAGTCGAAGCCACTGTAGCCTTTGAAACGGCTACTTGTAGAGGCACTAGAGGCTGAAGCTCAGACGGTGTTGAACCCGACGAGCTTGAAAAGAGAGACCCTCCTAGCAACGGTTTTTTACCGGTAGAGCGTGACTTATCGATCTCTACGGCGGAGTAAGCAGGATGGATGAAAAGAACAACGCAAGGCGACCTACCATCTACTCGAGCTTCTACGGCCTCCTGAATGGGAAGTTCAAAGATTGATCTCTGTCTCCATACTTCAACCACGCGACGAAGCTTTTGCTGAATATCGTTTGAGGAACCCTTGTATGCGATAGCCGTGGCCTCTGCGATGATCTGGTAAATGTTAACTCCTGATACCTGCCAGGGCCAATAATGATACACTAACCGGCGAGAATGCGATGAGAAAGTCCTCTTTCCGTCGGGCTCTTGACTGTTGCGCGACCTCTGACATGCTGTTAGTGTTGGTCCGCAACCGACCTGGAACGATGAGCTATACCATTGGCCAAATATATCAGGTTCAGACGTTTCGGTGCTGGGGAATCGCGGAGTTTCTGCAGCCAGAGCTGTGCTGTCCGTTCGGCGTGCCGTCTAAGGTTGAAAATACATATGAGTAGAGCCCTTGGATATACGAACAGTTGTCATCTTACCTGTGAAACATAACCCATTGCGCAACTGTGACAATGCCTTCCTGGGTTTCGTTGAGCGCTGAAAGCTTCGCTTTCACAGCATCATCTGTATATGCCATTCTGATTACTTGCTAGGATGGCCAAGCTAGAAGGCAACTCTCGTAGAAGGAGTAATGAAAGATGTGTGAATGCAGTGTGTTTTGCTCGCCGCGAGCTAGGACTTGAATCGCTATTCCTTAAGCGCGAATGCTAGAACGAATGACAACGGGCACAATGTACCAAGTGTGCACAATAAAAGAAAAATTCACTTCAGCTTGAGTCAGATTGATATGACCACTGCCCTGGATATCTGACGTGAAAGAGTGAAATGGTCCTGAGGAGTAGTGAAGCTCATCCGTCGCACCTGGTAATTGCTGTGTAGCTGTCAGACCGCCTTCCCGGCAGAATCCGGGGGGTTCTCCATTCATACTTGGAACGGTCCGCTCGATCCCCAAGACGCCAGCTGGAGCCTTACGTTCACATTCCCATCTCTCCTCATCTGACCCCTTTCTCTTAGTCCAACTCCTTTGCAGAATCAATCTATAACTCAGTTTACGATAATTGAAAAGCATGGCGGATCGTTTCCCTTCATTGGAGGACTTCTCTGCGGGTGAGCAGCCCGCATCATTCCCGCCAACACTACACAACACTAACCCCGGTGTCTAGGCCAGACCGAAGTCGTCGAGACCAACGGTGCCTCTGATGAAAGTGACTTCCTAGCTCGCGAACGGGCTATGCTCGGTGATGATGCAGAACAATTTGCGACTCCCCAAGATCTGTCGCCGACGACGTAAACAATGACGACGACTTACTGGGAGGTGCGGATGCCGCTCCGTCCGCGGGTGGTGTTGAGCCTCAGGAGATCGCTGGATTCGAGTCTTCCTTCCCTGCTCTCGACACACAGAACGAGGTATGAGATATGCTGGGTCTATTATCGGGGAGTACTCTAAAATAACCACCAATTCACAGCAAGTTGCCCCTGGCGGCACAATCACTGGGTCGGGTGCCCCCTTTCCACCTACTGGGTATTCCAACTACACAACTCAAGCCCCGGAGGAGGAGCCAGAGCCCGTTAGGTAGGTCTCGTCATATATCAGCAGCCAGGCAATCCGTTCCTTGACTGTGTGTCATGTCGCTTGTAGGGGGTCCATGTGCTAATGGAGATGTCTTGCAGGGAATGGCGTGAGCGGCGAGATGCGGATATCCAACGTCGTGCGGAGATCTCGGAGGAGAAGAAGGAATCTACCATAAAGAAGGCGCGCGAGGATATTGATGACTTTTATGTCTCATACAACAACAAGACGGACAAGCTTCGTGCCCAAACCCGCGCTGAGGCAGATCAGTTCCTGTCCAACCGGGAGGACACTTCTTCTGGAGGTACTAGCTGGGAACGCATTGCCAAGCTTGTCGACGTCTCCGGAAAGGGAACCAAGGGTGGTGCCAGCGGTTCTGGTAAGGAGCGCTTCCGAGAGCTGCTCCTTGATCTTAAGAAGGACCAGAATGCCCCCGGTGTCAGCGGCGTTTAAGCAGCTGAACGCATAGTGTGTTCTAATTACAAGGACTCTGGATACGAAGAAGGCCGAAGTCCACAAGATAAGTCTTCGGTCTGATGATACGATCTCAGAGAGTGGGGAACAGTTGTAGCACTGGAGGTTACCCTTGTCCTCTGCATTCCAGCGCCTTTTATTATCATGACCGTCATCATTCATACCACCTCCGTGCGCCTCAGATTCTCGACCCGATCGTAACTTCTTATACAGGAGTTCGTCAAGTACTTGAGCTAATGGCTATTTCTCAGTACATGTGTCTTCTATTCAATTCTTAAACACATGTCTTTTTATGTTGCTTATTTCCCCTTGATGTAGGTAGATTACACACATTGGAACATTTTAATTGCCTCTCACGTCCACTACTGCTTAGGAACGTACAGTCCTTATGCAAAACATCAGAAGAGTTGGTATTCGCTAAAAGTACATTTTACTTGGAGCATGTATTCACACATTGTAACCCTCCTACTCGGAGGTCGGGGCTTAGATGCAATATGGACAATCTGAATTCATCCAAATCAACCATTAAAACAGTCGCTGTTGACGAACACAATATTTCCACCATCCAAAACATGCATTACTAGTTTTCATACCTCAATCAAGCTCGGTGATATCACCTCCCGGTTCACCTACTTCCTGTTCCTCTCTTTCCCTCTTATTCTCTGCCTCAATTTCTTCCAACTTCTTCCTTCCTTCCTCTGTGGTCGCGTCAACAATGCCTTCTTCCAGGCTCAGCATGCCGCTCTGTCCTAGCTTCTCAACGACATCTTCGGCTTCTTCGACGCTCATCTTACCGAGCACCTTGTTGACCTCATCCAAGGACTCCGACGCCAAGGCCGTCTGTAGGTCCTTGGAGAAGGATTCGTACACCTTGCGCGCCTCAACCTCAACAGGGTCATCGCCCTCAGCAGAGGGTATGTTGATAGTAATCTTTGTATTCGGGTCCACTGCATGCAGCTGAATCTGTTCCACTCCAGCGGGGTCGTTAGAAGCAGAGCCGTCTTTGGCCAGCTCCGCAGCGCGGGTCTTGATTTTGTGGTAAGTTTCGTTGACGTCGTTTCGGAAGAGTGTTCCAGCTTGGTGTTCTGCGGTGGTGATACTATGCGAATATACCTGTTAGCAAGTGACTCACATCGATTGATCGTTCGCATACGCACCGTTTGAAGAAAAGCGAGATACCGTCGCGACCCAGGGAGCGGCAGTACTGCAACAACAAGCCTTGGTGAACGCAGGTGCGGGCGTAGTCCTCCTTGCCCTCCATTTGGCTGTTGAAAGCTTCAACCAATAGACCATCCGTTTCTTTCTCAGCAACAATCTGTGGGTTCTCAGAGATGAACTGAAGCAAAGCACGGTAATCGTTGCGGTTGATTTTCGCAAACCGCTTGGCAAGTTCACTGGCCTTGATGTTCTCCGGATCCTCCTCTTCGTCATCGTCATCAGCTTGTGGGGCAGCAGCTGACTGGGACGAGCCCGCCGTTGATGCTCCAGGGTTCAGAAGCTCGACTGTCTCTGTCTTTTGGCCCTTGGCCTCGCCAGGCTTGGCGATATGGGAAGTGTTGAAGCCCTCGTGCAACCCCTCGCTAGTAATTTTGCTGCCTTCTTCCTTCTCAAGCTGGGCAAGTCTTTGAAGAAGCTCCTTCTGTAAGCCCTGCACCTTGTCGTTGTGCCTCTGAACACCCTTGATGTATTCCTGATAGAGATTCCCGGAACTGACATCACCCATCTCATTCTTCACCTGGTCAACCAGAGCGCTCATCATCTGTGAGTACTTAGGTTGTTCCTTCTCCTGAGTATGGACTCCCGCCGGGGCTGCGGGAGGATGGTCCTCCGATGGGTTGCCTGCAAACTCCATAAGATTCTGGAAGATCACTTCCTCGACGGACTTGGATCCTTCATTCTCCTTCAGGGCCGTAAGGAGCTTGTCGATTCGTGCAAGGAGCCCGTTATTGACAATATGCTCGTACTTCAAAGTCTCAATCTCATGGCGGCGTTGGGCACGTTGTTGATGAATTTGGGCTTGTTTGGCCCGGATAAAAGAACGCTTGTCGACATTCGGGTGCACTTCAATGTCGGAGTCATCAGACAGCTCCAGTGCATCCCATTTGCTGTAGTCAAGCACCATGTTGGGCGAGTGCGGAATGTAGTCGATGGTATAAGGAGGGGTGAGGGTGGGGTAGATGAGTAGATGTATAAAGCCTGGGAATGGGGTGGAGTCGTAAATACGGATAGAATTTCAGATAATATACGGTCAACGAACTCGACTCCAAGTTTCCTTTTGAGCTTAAAAACCAAGAAATACACGAGCGCAGCCTATTCCAGCGTGAGAGCGATCATCGAAAGCTCTCGACCAGCTTCGACGGCGGCGGAATCGTGGCAGGCGGTGTCCGTAGGCAGAACCGTCGCCGATGCGAGGCCGAACGGCGATGGCCGGACTCGCGGCTTCACGGCTGACATGTTCTGACTTCCAAGTGTCTAGCGGTCTCCCGGAGAGCGATTTACTTTCGATTTGTCATGAGATCTAGCAGACACCGGGCTGTCTAGTGGGATATGGCACCCTGATTACTCCGTTTGGCATCCATTTGAGCAGCCATCCGAATCCGCTTTCTATCGTCCGAAATGCGCGGAGCCAGGTTGCTGGCTTCCTGGGCCCCCGGCGTCACCGCCAGACGGGGAGCTCAGGTGAATGGGAGCATACTCAATGAGCTCTACTTCAATGCTCGTCCACTTCAATCAGGAATTGGCATCTCTGGCGTCTCTAGCCGACAATTCTCGGGAATTTCGGCTTCATTACGCAACAACTTCTCGCTGACGTCTGGACTATCCATCCGTCAAAGTAACGGTTCACGGTTCGATATCATACGGTCGCAATTAATAGCGCAATCTCGGTACTTCTCCTCGTCGCAACGGTCATTGGAATCCAAGCCAGTGAACTCATCGACTAAATCTGCTCAAACGAACAACGCCACGGCTCAGGACAAGGAAGATGAAGACATAGACAAGGGCTTCGAGCTATCGGAAAAGGGAGCTCAGGCTGCGCAGGTAAACCTTGCCGCTAAGCTAAGCAAAGACGGCTCTGGGAATAAGAAAGCCGGTTTTAAAGAGATATGGAGACTTCTGCTCATTGCGCGACCCGAAGCTAGAAAGCTTGGGTTTGCTTTCTTTTTCCTGCTCATCTCGTCATCAATCACCATGTCCGTTCCCTTCTCCATCGGCAAAATCATGGATGCAGCTACAAAGTCTTCTGACGAAGAAGGAGGCGGTGGAAACCTGCTCTTTGGCTTGAGCGTACCGATGTTCTATGGTGCTTTGGCCGGTATCCTGACATTGGGTGCCGCTGCGAACTATGGCCGTATTGTCATTCTCCGTATCGTTGGAGAGCGCATTGTCTCAAGGCTTCGCTCGAAGCTTTTCCGCAATACTTTTGTCCAAGATGCGGAATTCTTCGATGCGAACAGAGTGGGCGACTTGATCTCACGACTCGGTTCTGATACCATTATTGTGGGCAAAAGTATCACGCAGAACTTGTCGGACGGTTTGCGAGCAGCCGTCAGTGGTGCAGCAGGCTTTGGTCTGATGACCTATGTTAGTCTCAAGCTGTCCAGTGTCTTGCTTGTGCTGTTGCCGCCTATTGGTCTCGGAGCATTCTTCTATGGTAGGGCGATAAGGAACCTTAGTCGCAAGATCCAGAGAAACCTCGGTACTTTGACCAAGATCGCGGAAGAGCGTCTTGGTAATGTCAAGACTAGCCAGTCCTTTGCTGGTGAGATCCTTGAGGTGAACCGATACAACAACCAAGTTCGCAAGATCTTCGAGCTTGGCAAGAGGGAATCTCTGATTAGCGCTACCTTCTTCAGTTCCGTAAGTTCCCCCGTATTTTTGCCTTTCAATTTAGCGCCACTTAGCTGACAGCTCGATCAGACTGGCTTCATGGGCAACATGACGATCCTTGCATTGCTTTATGTTGGAGGCGGCATGGTTCAGTCAGGTGGCATCACGATTGGAGAGTTGACTTCCTTCTTGATGTATACTGCTTATGCCGGCTCCAGCATGTTCGGTCTCTCTAGCTTCTACTCCGAGCTGATGAAAGGTGTGGGAGCTGCCAGTCGTCTCTTCGAGTTGCAGGATCGTGAGCCAACGATATCCCCAACGAAGGGAAAGAAGGTTGAATCGGCTCGTGGTCCTATCCGTTTTGAGAACGTGAACTTCAGCTACCCCACGCGACCTGCTGTTCCTATCTTCAAGGAATTGAACTTCGAGATTCCACAAGGGAAGAATGTCGCCATCGTCGGACCTTCAGGCGGAGGAAAGTCAACCATTGCTTCGCTTCTACTGAGATTCTACAACCCAACCGAAGGACGTGTTCTGATTAATGGCCAGGACATCAGCGAGATGAACGCCAAGTCCCTCCGCAGGAAGATTGGTGTTGTTGCTCAGGAGCCTGTCCTGTTCTCGGGATCAATTGCTGAGAACATTTCTTATGGCAAGCCACGGGCTACCAGGTCAGAAATCATCGCAGCAGCCAGGAAAGCGAACTGCCAGTTTATCAGTGATTTTGTAAGTAGAAAACCTACCACTAGACTGTACCTTCTACTAACATGTTTCTAGCCGGATGGACTCGACACTCAGGTTGGACCCCGCGGAGCTCAACTCTCCGGTGGGCAGAAGCAGCGCATTGCCATCGCTCGCGCTCTCATCAAGGATCCCGACATTCTGATCCTGGATGAAGCGACCTCTGCTCTTGATGCAGAATCTGAGACATTGGTCAACAGCGCTCTTGCTGCCCTTCTTCGTGGAAACAACACCACCATCAGCATCGCTCACAGACTGTCTACAATCAAGCGCTCTGATACTATCATCGTGCTTGCCCCTGATGGAAAGGTGGCCGAGCAGGGCACCTACGAGGAGCTCAGCTCTCGTCCTGATGGCGCCTTCACAAAGCTGATGGAATGGCAGATCAATGGTGGCGAGAACACACCAGCAAACGCCCCCATCAGCCCAGCGACGGAAGAGAAACTGTGGCAGTTAGAGAAAGAGGAAGCTGAAGCTGACGTCGAAGATGCCAGCAGCGAACGCGACCAGCAGAAGAAGTAGGAGCGTCCACTGCTTCGTGGATGTCCAGGCGCCTGCCTTCCTGGGCACCCACTCTTTGTTTTTTATTTTCTTCGTTATCTTGTTTTCAGCAGTGTAGAGTATATAGCTCCTCTATGGGGCACATAGTACACTATTGTCTAGACAGCTGGGCCGCCTAAAGCTGGATGTACTATCTATCTACTACGGGATACCCCCCACACCGGGGTGGCTCAGCTTTTGGTGACTGGATAGATAAAATATAATACCCATCTCTACTTCTGAACTATATTCTCTGTGCAATTGTTGACACGCTATCAAAGCTTTTGAGCTATTGAACTCACTACTTGTTGATTGTCGTTGTCGTTGAATTGATAAGCCTCTTAGTCACCCAGTTCAACGTGACCCGCGGATTACCATTCTTGGCGAGTGTCACGCCTCATGACCAGCTGCTGCTCATCTTCTTATCCTCCGCGTCGATCTTCCCTGCCTCACTTTGTCTACCATCATGGGCTGAGCCTTGTACTACTCCCTGTCCCCTCTCATCACTTGAACAGGGACAACCCAAAGACTCGCTACAATGGACCGCATCCGCGGGCTTATCGCTCGCCGGCCTACGTATGAAGCAATCGAGCAGCCGGTTGACGCCGACGACGAGAGCATCCGCTTAACTCGTGAAGAGGAACAGCATCCCCGTTTCTCCAAATATGAATACGCAGTATTCTTTCTCTTGGGAGTATCTATGCTATGGGCATGGTATGTCCGACCTTACAACATCCGCATTGACTGCATCTATCTGACTAGACCGGGACGTCATAGGAACATGTTCCTCGCCGCTGCACCATACTTCTACCACCGTTTCCACACAGACGACTGGGCAGCAACCCATTATCAGCCTTCAATATTGACCGTATCCACCGTTACTAACCTAGGTTCCTCGTTCATCCTGGCCAAGCTACAGAAGGGAGCGTCCTATCCGAAGCGTGTCACCATCTCTCTGCTTATCAACATCGTGGTGTTCACGCTCCTGGCCTTCTCCACCATCCTGATGAAGGATGTCGCAGTAAGCACATACTTCAGCTTTCTCATGATCATGGTGTTTGGGGCCAGTCTTGCGACCGGAATAAACCAGAATGGCGTGTACGCTTACGTCTCCGGCTTTGGAAGAGAGGAGTATACCCAAGCCATCATGGGCGGCCAAGGCGTAGCGGGTGTCCTACCCTGCATTGTCCAGATCCTCTCCGTGGTCTCCGTGCCAAGTAAGAAGGAAGGACAAAAAGCACCACAGGAGTCCTCCAAATCCGCTTTCGCCTACTTTATCACGGCGACAGCCGTGTCGTCCTTTGCTCTGCTAGCCTTCCTATCCCTCGTCAAGCGACGCGCATCCTCAACCCTCTTAGACCCAACGGACGACCACAGCGACCCAGATGTGCCAGAGAACAAGTCTGTCAGCCTCTGGACGCTCTTCAAAAAGCTCCGCTTCATGGCCTCGGCCATCTTCCTCTGCTTCACAGTCACCATGACCTTCCCTGTCTTCACAGCGGAGATCGAATCCGTCCACGACACTCCCGGACGATCTCGACTCTTTGATCAGGCCGTCTTCATCCCTCTTGCATTCTTCTTCTGGAATGCAGGTGATCTGATGGGCCGAATGCTCGTCCTGTTTCCCCGTCTCTCCCTTGTTAACCGTCCCTTCGTGTTGTTCCTCTTTTCGATTGCTCGAGCCGCATTCATCCCGCTGTATCTTCTCTGCAACATTCGCGGCCGGGGTGCAGTCGTCGAAAGCGATTTCTTCTACCTATTTATCGTGCAGTTGCTGTTCGGAATAAGCAACGGGTACCTGGGAAGTAATTGCATGATGGGCGTTGGACAGTGGGTGTCTCCTGATGAACGTGAACCTGCAGGTGGGTTCATGGGATTGATGCTCGTAGGTGGGCTGACTGCGGGAAGCTTGATGAGCTTTCTGGTTGCTGGTGCTTGATTTTCGGGTACATATTATCGGTAGTTCACGGTGTTTTGGGTTTCATTGCTATAGACTGCAGTCATACCGTACTGCTATCGTGGGTATATGCCAGCGTATCCCTCTTGTATTTCGAGCTTTATGCTGCCCAATCGATCATAGGTATATAGTGGTTGAGGTATAATAGGCCGAAATAGCAACTACTGGGTCACTTCTCATACAAAGGAACTACTCTGAACCAGAAGGCCATCATGCCATCAAGATACATTAGTAGATCAATTAAACCAGTCAGTCAACACTGACTGACCCCACGGAATCATCTCCCCAACCAATGCAGCCCCGTTCCATATCATCCCAAAAAAGAAAAGAATTACGACTACATTGTACATGAAGATATACAACGAACGAACATCAGCATCACCACACCACATAAATCAGCAGGCAGTCAATAAAAGACGCCCATGATTTCCCCCATCAACCCAATCCACAGTTCGTTCAATGAAGGAAAAGAACAGAACAGAACAGAACAGAGCTCACGCCCGACGGGTACTCTTCTTCATCATCCGGCGGTGCTCCTTCTGCTGCTCACGCTCCAGGTACTTCTTCTGCTCCTCCGCAGACATACCACGCAGGAGACGTTCCCTGTCTTCCTTCTTGACCTTCTCGGCGGCAAGTCTGCGCTCCTCGGCCTTCTCCTCCTCATCCGCACGACGCAGCTTCTTGATCTCTTCCTCGCGAGTGCCCCGCACCTTGCGCATCACTTCAGGCCGGAAGTGGGCGGCGCCAACGAGGCGGTCGGCGAAGCGGAGGAATTGCGTGAATAGAGGCAGGGTGGTGGTGTAGCCTTCTGCGTTGCTGGGGAGAGTGACGGACAGTTCGATGCGCTTGCGGGGGGTGGTTTCCTCGATTCTGGTCACATGGTGTTAATTAGCACGCGTGCTCGGTTTGGGGGATAGATGAAACTGTTTATGAAGGGGGAAACTCACTCCATAGGCTTGTCAACGGGCTGGTCAGTAACAATCAAGTACTTGAAGTCATTGCCGGCCTTCTCAATAGCCTGGGCCAACTCGTTCGTGAGCAAAGCATCCGTGATCTCCGCACTCTCGGTCATGACCGTAACCCAGTTAGGCAACTTGTTGTTATCCCTGGTGAAAGTGATGCTCGCATCATAGCGATCCTGACGGAACTTCCGCATGTAGTTCTTGTGTACAACAGCCCAGATAAATCCATCATAGGTGGAGTTGTTTACTTTCAACGAAGAACGATCATTAGCCGGAAGCGGGACAACGTCCTTCTCCTTTCCGTCGAAGGTGTACGCCGTGGCCTCGTAAGTTTCCGTCGGCGGGGTCCAGCTCTCAAACAAGAAGCCCAGGACAGTCTCCGTCCAGAAAGTGACGGGGTTGTACCGTTTGGGGAGCTTGATGGCCACGTCCACGAATGCCACGTTCTGACGACCGGTCGCGTAGGAAGCGAATTCTTGAGCGGAGCGTTCCTTGAGGAGGGATTCGGGGGCAGGTTGTCCTTCGCTGTTGCTGCTGCTGGGGCCGTCGAAACCCACAACGGCGAACTCGCTTTGCAGGGCGGAGGTGTGGGCTTGCGCCCAGTCGCGCGCCTTGCGGCGGTTCTTGCGCGTGCCCCAGAAGTGGAAGAGGATGATTAGGAGGATGATGGGCATCACGGTCGCTTCTTGCATGAAGTCTCGTGGCGAGGTCCGCTCCCATACCCGATACCATTTGGTGTAGGGGACCGGGGTGACGCCTTGGGTGTTCACGGCTGGGATGGATGAGGACCCGGCGACGAGGGAGGCCGGGGAGGGTTCCGGAGCTTCGACGAAGTCGGCGAAGTCTGCATTGGAGACGGTGATTAGTGAAGTGTTTGTTACGTTGTGCTAGGGTTAAGAGAGCAATTGAAGAGAGTTTGGGGAAGAGTTGGTTTTCCTGGGGTACAAAGGTCGAGGTAAAAGCTGGGGTTTGGGGCGTGCGTGTTGTGAGACTCACCATCGTCAACCTTGGCTGGGTTCGAGGGCTGGGAACCGCCAAAGACGTTCTTGAACAGGCCCGCCATGATGAGGAATGGGGAATTGGACGGACTGGGGAACGGACGGGCGAGGAAACTGGCGACGTGGCGGAGGAAGGAAGAGAAGAGGAGGGAAGCGAACGGGCGTTAGGTTGAGTTAAATGGTTGACGTTCGTCGCAAACCGATCGGAGCCACGGTGGAGCCGACCGCTCAGGCGTCAAACCCCCAAAAGATAAGGAGAACGCTTAGATCGTGGGGATTTCGGAGGATTATGACTATTCCTTATTACGATCATGATTCTGGTTGTGGGAGGATATACTGAAAAAATATACAGTAGCATTGCTCGAAACTCTACGGCAATTCAACAAGGCAAAAACTAAACCCAGATTTGCCAGTCATTCTTTTGACTCCATCGATTGCGTGCTTCCAGCTTCCAGATCCCAAATCAAAGAGAAAACAACAGTAAAGATAAAGTAGTGGACAAAGGAGAGTAGAGTAGAAAATCACAGTCAAAGAGAGTCAGCGAGCGAAGTGGTATCCCTCAGAAACAGATCGCTCACGCAGGTCAAAAAAAATCAAAACACGCCAGATTCTTTTATGAGTACAGTCCAATCAGTGTACAAAATTCTAAAGCCCGCTTGGAAACAATTAAAACACGGTAAAGCACAGTCAGAATTAAATGCAGTGTCGTATCGGTCATGAAACGCTCCAGACTCGCTGGAGCTGGAAGGATTGCTCTGGAATGAGCATCCTAGCCGGGGAGAAAAGAAATGGTGAAGATAAAAGAGTACAAAGACGCCCACCAGGTCGTGCGAGTCACTGACCATACGCCGGGGGGGCATCATCATGGCTGAGACGATCCCAGAACGAACTGCACGAATTGCCGGGAGTCAATTTCTCCTCCCGCATGCGACGAGCAATTTCTCCGGCCAGTCGTTCAACCAGCGCTTGGTCAACGATGCTGGATGTCGGCTTGGCATCGGACAGTGGAAGCGCCTTGGAAGGGAGTTGGCGTGGGGCGCTTGCTTCTTCCTTCTCGCTCTCATGTTGAGCAGCAATGTAGGGGTGTACAGCCACCCGCGGAGTAGCGTTAACATCAACCGCCGAATGGTTGACCGGCTGAGCCGACGACTCTCCGGTCTCACGCAACATTTCAGTCGCAATATCGCGGCGGGGCATCTGCCTGGAAATACTCAAGCGGTGTCGTTCGGGAACCGTAGGAAGGTGGAGTTCACTGTCCGGAGACAACGGGGGAGTCACTGGGTCATCGGTCTGTTCGCTGACCACCGGCAAAGGTGCAGAGCAGATAGACGGTGCGCTGGTAGTCTCCGTATAAGTGCTCTCGCCGCTCACACTGACGGCATCCTCAGTAGTCTTGGGACGACGCAGGTCCACCACGCGCTTCTTCCGCCTGCGAGCATTGGATTTCGAGTGACGACCGGCTCCCAAGCTCAGACCGTAGCTGCTGAAAGTGTGGGTGTTCGTCGAAGACCGAGTCTGTGAGGACACCATGCTGGCTGTATCATGGAAAGACGACATCCCGCCGACTTGGGATTGGGTCCGGGAAAGTACTGGGCTCAGGGGAGACATGACGCCACCCGAAACTTCGCCCGCATCAGAAGGCGAAGTCCATGCGCGGTAAACCACTTCTTGAATAGACGGAGTAAACAGCGATAGCGTTCGCTGGGAGTCCGTAAGTGCGGCCAGACGTAGCAGGTTCTTCTGTGAGAACAAGGAGTGCGTCTCGACCGAGGAATCCAAGGAAAGTGAAGCGATCTCCGATTCATCCAAAGCGTTGCCTTGAGCATCTACAGGATCCTGTGGAGGACTCGCCAAGGGGTCCTGGCCAGGCCCCTCACCTGCGGTGTTGGTGGCACGGTTCGCCATTTCCTCTCCAGCCCGGTATTCTGGAACCCATAATCGGAGAGACAGCCGATGGATGATGGCGGGCAACTCATCCATGAACAAAACGCGAAGCTGGCCTTCTATTTCTCGCTGTAGAAAGTCGCGCACGAAGGGAATCGAATCGAATGTCGATGATACTTTGAGTGATTCAAGGGGGTCATTTCGGAAGACGACTGTAATGCCTTTTTGCTTCGAAAAGACTAATATGACGAAGCCGGAAAGTTTGAAGTCGGAAAGGGTGATTTGAAGAGGAATAGTCAACGGAGTTCTGCAATTCATGGCGATCAGGTCAGCAAGGATGCGCTTGGCTGCGTATTAGGGTAATCCAACAACACATACGCTGCAGCGACCGGTAAGGGAGTCGCAAAGGACGGTCGGGTGAGAAGATAGGTATTGAGCGGATTTGCTTGGACGCGGGTTTTCAGGGTCAGAAAGGCATCGCCCGTATAAGACATCTTAAAGATGCCTCGAAAGCGATCCTCAGCCAAGTCTCCGATTTCCAAGATCTCCAGCTCCGGCGGGATAGAACCGAGATTTAGTTCGGTGACATGGATATCGTCCACGATTATCGGCGGTTTTGGCGATTTATTCAAAGCGGCAGTTAACAGCTCTTGGGCGCGAGTGTAGAAGCTCGCGTCCGCCATTAAAGGCGACCAGTTGAAGTTGAACGCCATCGCGGGTCATTCAATGATGGGTGGGTTTTATTTCAGCGGAGGCGGCGACATGGGGAAAATGGGGGATAATCGACAACAGAACGCAAAGTGAAATCGAGACGTATTTGAGGAATAGACGGAAGGGCGGAAGTAACGCTTCGTCGGAGGTAAAGAGAGAGTCTGTGTGTGAGAGAGTGAGAGAGAAGGAGAGGGGCGAGGAAGGGTTGATGCGCCGATAAGCCGGAATGAAGGGAAAAGATGAAAAGGGCGGCGGATGGAAAGAAAAAAGAAGGCGAGGAATCCCGAGCGTCCGGCCAGTCAGTTTTACGGTTTTGATGGTTACGGCGCTGCGCTTTACAGTAGTGGTGTTGCGCTCGCGTGATCTACGCGGCGGCTCAGTCGGGTTCTTGCTTCGTGGATATTCAGCTAAACTAGGAGACAATAACTTATTCAAAAGCTGTCTGTTACTTGTATATACTACGACAAGTCCAATTTCAGCTGTCAGCCAGGATACAGGTTTACTGGGATGAGTCTTTGTGAGGATAGAAATTGGAAAATTTTCCCAAGCGGCAGGAATAACGTCACCGCACAACGGTAGGTAATCGTGGTAACGCACTAGTAACCCGCTGCACCGGCAAAATTACAATAGCAGAGAGAGCAGCAGAGCAAAAGCCCTCCTTTTGACTCAAGACTGTGTAGTTGCTTACTTCCGATCTCCTCCGACTGCAAGCCGGCCACCAAAACTAGTTAACTGATTGTCGCGCGTCATGAGGGCACCGATCGTCATGCTCCCCAGGCAGGAATTATTATGGGTCTCATGCCATTCATCCTTCTACCCGTCAAGGTACATTCATTTCTTCTAGACTATAATCTTCGCATCTCAAACACTCCTTTGTATCATTCTTCCCGTCCAGGCCGCCATCCTCGCAATTTCACTGTCAGGCCCGTGCTGGACTGACGGGCCAGAAGCAGTGGAATCCTGTGCCGATCCACCCGTCCCTTTTCCACCTCCATACTCTATTTACGGAGTACGGGGTACATCTCCGGAGTCGTCCATGCCTCTCCTATGACTCCTGTCTGATTAACGAGTCTTAAAATCTAGGTATATGCATGTCAATAACCCCCCATAGTCTACCAGGAAGGTAATCGTTAGTCTGCTACCTCTTTGGGAGCCAAACATTGCGCTAGATATTCCCAATCTGGCAGGTGACTTGCCGCGAAAAGTCTCTGGCAGGTCAACCCACGGAAAGCCTCCGATACACGAGCTTGCCGAGGCCTTCCTTTCATCCCGGCCATTCCAGCTCGGAACCTTACCATCACCACTCAGACCCCTTCAATAATAATCACAGGTCAAGTTCATGTTGTCCCTCTACTCGGAGATTTTAGTTCTGGAGCTGTGGCTTCCTAGCTTGATCTCCCTTGGGCTTTGTACTACCAACCGAGAGCTCGGTATCATAGAATTTTGATTTTAAAACTATATCTCATGAATACATATGAATACATTAATGTCTTTTGAGGCTGACGTAGAGAAAGACCATGGCAAAATTGTTTGATGCGATGAGACATTACAACGAAACACTGAATACTATTTATCAACAGAAAGCTACCTGAGCAATACTAGAGATTGACTAACCCTCTAAGCTTCCTTTCCTACAGAGTATGAGCATCCAACATGGCAATGACGATCTACTTACATAAGCAACACCTACCCCAGCAACCAAGCCACTATCTCGAATTAGGAAAGGTATCAATAGCCCCGGTAAGCATCAGTGGCCTCCACTGAATCTCGCCGCAGCTGCTGCTCTCCTCAATCTTGGGCACATTCTTCAATACACACGGGCGCTAGGCTCATTGAGCCACTAGGAGCAACTCTATCAGGATCGCTCTACCCTCACATTACAACATCACCATGCTATCCCCGTCCTCGCCTGTTGTCGCGGCCGACAACACAACCCCTGGACAATGGAATTCGAGACCAGCCACCAGAACACGCACATGCGCACAGAGAAAGGTGTACGGAAAACGAAGAGCGGATGCGCCCAGAGCAGTGTTTGAGCAGCGAAGTCCAGCCAAAGATCTGGAAAAGCAAGCAAAAAAGGCTGTTCAGGGTGCTGTGGAGGGCCTTCGAGAGAAGTTGGCTGAGGTTACGATAGAGGAGCCTGCGTTTCAAGAGCCAGAACCCGAGAAGCCTCAGGAAAAGGAAGCGAAGGTGGAAGAAGATGACGAAGAGGATATTCAACCTGATGAGACTGAACAAGAGGCACCTATGCCAGAAGCGACACCCACCCTTGTATCCGAACCGCAAGACGAGCCATCCCCATCGGAACAATTATCACCAGACCGCAGCCCTAAAGAAAGCACGAAATATGAAACAATGGTCGAAGTGAGGATTAGCCCGAAGGTGTCGGTTGAAAGACCTCGGAGACGCAAGCAAGCTACCGAAGGAACCACGGAGAGCGGACGGCGATCAGCAAGAAAGGATAAGCCAGCACCGCGACTATCATCCGGTTGCATCACAGATGAGAAGGCAAATGCCTACGTTCGACCAATTCTGAACGAAGCGTTATCCCCGGTCGCCGCTCAGAGCGTACAAAAGTTTGGATCATGGGCGGCTCGTGCGGGCAACTTGTTGGAAGTGGTGAAGATCGCAGAGGGTTCGTATGGAGAAGTCTATAAACTACGGCTGCGGGAGGAGCTGTGCAAAAAGGAAATGTCCAAATCCAAGCTTGCGCGCCTAAAGGCCTACGGTGATGGTGTGTTCAAGGTGGTCCCTCTGCGCGCTCAGAGCGGCCCTGGTTCGAAGAAGTTTACTAGCGTGGAGGAAATTGTCTCCGAAGTGAAGATGCTTAAGTATCTGGATCCAATCCCTGGGTTTGCTCGCTTTCGGGAGATCCACGTTGTTCAGGGTCGCTTCCCGGAAAACTTCCAGACGGCGTGGGACTACTACAAGAAGACCAAGGACGACTGTCTGAATCCGAATCCGTCTAGTAAACGGGCGTACCCCGACTCACAACTCTGGGCAATCATTGAGATGGACGATGCTGGGTGCGAGCTGGAAAAGTTCTCTTGGTCATCAATCTTCCAGATCTACGACATCTTCTGGGGAGTCGCAATGGCCCTTGCACGGGCGGAGGAATATGCATTGTTCGAGGTTCGCACCTGCCCCCCTCTCTCCAGGATACCAAGACACCCTTACTAACATCACATCAGCATCGAGATCTCCACCTTGGTAACGTCTGCATACGAAGCACGCGCCCCGAAGGCCGCATGGATCCACCAACCGACCACGAAATCATCAGCCAGTCATTCACGAGTGGCTTTGGACTCAGCACCCTAGAAACCACCATCATCGACTACTCCCTCTCCCGCGCGGAGTTACGCATGAGCGAAGAAACAGAGCTCGTCGAAGTCGCCTCTTCGGATCTGGACAAGAAACAAATCTTCGACGCCATCGGTCGTGACGAAGACGAGATCATGCTACGGAACACCTACAGATAGTACGTACCAATATCTCCAAAAGTCCCAAGCCCCCTCTTCCTTTTCCGCAGCGTATCCAGCAGCCAAACTAACAACAACCCACAGCATGCGCGCCGAAGTCTACCACGGCGAACCTCTCAGAACCGAAAAGTCTCCCGATATCCCGGGCATCTGGGCCGAGTACGCCCCACGAACCAACCTCGTCTGGCTCGTATTCCTGCTCAAGTCCCTACTCAAAAACAGAAAGAGCGAGCCAGCAGCTACGGCACCGGCGACACCTGCTCGACAACCTCTTGCGCCATGCTCGCCTAATAGGGGCTTGAAGAAGCAGGTAGCGAGATCTCCGCTGGAGAAAATAAAGCAACAGCAGCAGCTGGAACACAAACCGAGAGTTACGGCTGCGACGCAGGAATATATTTCTCAATTGAAGAAGACGTTGGAGGATCGATTACAGGGTGTTCTGGAGTTGCTGGATTTGGAAAGTGGGCATGAAGATATGTGTTGTGCGGCGGATTTGGTGGCGTATGCGATTGATACGCAGTGGTTGGATGAGAAGGATTTCTTTTGATCATTGTGCTGTATACCATTGCATTGAGGGTGTTAGGTTCGGAGTGGTGGTGATATTTATTTGCATCATGGCATAGACAAATGGTTGGGGCGTTTCAGGGAATCGGTTATACTACAGGATATATATATTGACTACTATATCTAATACACTGTTTACACACTTCAACCAACGGAAACGAAGCAGTAGTACCTTCACTCATAGAGTGTGACTCGCATACAAAACGCATAACATTCTACACTTACTGCACCACGGCACTCCCCCATGATCGGCACACTAATATCTAACGGTACCAAAAATCCATCGGCTCCCCCAAGCAATCCGCCACGGTCGTAGCTAAACAAACCAACCATTAGCACCACCGTCTACTCACAACACATCCCAAGTAAAAGTCAAGGAGGGGTAAACCTACCAATCAACCCCCTCCTCCTACTCTCCTCCAACATAACCCTAGTCAAAGTCCAAACCGTCTGCGCATGCGTATCATGTGCCAACACCACCGTCCCGCCCGCCTGCACCCCCTCCACAAACTTCCTTCACACTCTCCCCTATTAACTGAGGCGTATTATTCTCAAAGTCCTTTGTGTCTACACTTGCCCCAATAACATGGTATTCCAAGTCCGTCATCAATGCGAGGATTCTTCCGTCCACAGCTAGGAAGGGCGGGCGCATATAGGTGGGGACTCGACCGATGAAGGTCCGGAATAAGGACTCGAGGGTGTTCATCTCGTTAATTATGGTGGGGTTGTCGAGGGTAGGGAGGAAGGAGTGGCCAAATCTAGTGATGAATATATATCAGGGTATTTGGTTCGAGGGGTTCGGTTTCATGGAGATAGTAGCGAGACTGGGGAGACTTACGTGTGAGAGGCTATTTGGTGCCCTTCAGTGTAGATGCGTTGTAGGATGGGAGCACTCTCCTGTAGTCGGTAGCCGTTCACGAAGAAGGTTGAGCGTGCCCCGTATTCGCTGAGGAGGTCCAGAAGGGCTGGGGTGAAGGTTGAGGGGCCGTCGTCGAAGGTTAGGGCGATGGTGTTGGGGACGGTGCAGTGGGTGATTAGCATGCCGTAGGGGACGGCTGAGGAGTGGGAGGTTTCGTTGATGGGGTGGCTGTAGCAGGTTGGAAGCAGGGAGAGGATGGTGAGGATGAGGGTGATTGCTAGGAGCTTGGTCATGGTGTATGAATAGTGTAATGATAGATGACGTTGGTTATGAATATAGGGAGGGATTGGGGGTAGGGAATAGAAGTAGGACTGAGGGATGGTTTGCTTCTAGGGATCATGTTGCGTGATTTAACTTGCTAGAAGTACAGTATTTGGAAAGAGTAGATGTCGTGCTTGCTGGAGGAAAGACCAGAAAAGTATCGGAGATGGGAAGGTGTGGCATCTCCTTTCCTCCATTGGTATATTTCATTGCTGAGTCTATAGAATAGAAAGTATATGAATATGCCGTAGCTTCGATATTAGCTTCTCTATCGATTATGAACATGGGGATGAGGTAGTGAGTCAGATACAATATATCCTGGAACGCTATACCAGCCAGTGCAGTTTATGATATTCGACTCCACTGCCTTTCGCCCCGATAAGCTTGTAAGATGCAACCCCATTGACGTCAGCTGCACAGGCGCATTGAATCTCGCCATCGCATTCATTTATCAATCCATCACTTCGGTGCAGTGCCTACATGCTACCGGAGCATCCTTAGCATGGATTGAGGTGAGTGATGATAATGGTGATGATGATGATGCTCTGAACAGGTCTATTGAAAATATTCATCTGATGTTGCGCTAACTTACAAACCATCTAACCATCTAGTCTAACAGATGCAAAGCGAAATAACCCAGCCAACGCCAGGTCGCAAATTACAACTTGCCATAAACCTTCACCCTCTCCTCAACGGGCTTCTTCGGCTTCTCCTGACCCTCTACTTCGGGACTACCGAACACCAGTTGAGAGATGAGCCGCCAGTCAGTAGGAATATCCCACTGCTTGGCCACAGCGGAATCAATAAGCGGGTTATAATGCTGCAAGTTGGCACCGAAGCCAAGGGATTCAAGACCAATCCACACTGCATTCATTAGCATTGCCATCTCATGTCAAAGTAAAACGGGACCAAAGACATACAGAAGTACTGATGCATGGCATTGGTATGATGCGCCCAAGGCTCAAACTGGTCCTTGTAGGCAGGGAACTTCTCTTGGAAAGGCTTGATGTGCTCGGGGTCTTCATAGAAGAGGATCTAGGTACTCATTTAGCACAACATCCCGACATATACCCAATCAATTGAAATGATGACTTACGGTTCCCATCCCATTCTTCATACCCTGCAGCTTCGGCTGCGTCTGATTCTTCCACGTCTCCTCAGGCAGAGTTCCCTCCTTAACGCGGGCCTGGAACAAGTCCATAGTGATATCCCAAAGGCGCTCATGCTCCTTATGCAGCAGAACAATCAACCTCGTCGACTGAGTATTAAAAGCACTGGGGACATTCAAAATAGCCTGATTGACGAGCTCCTCGATCTTCGAGTCCGGCACGGGACTATTCCTCCCGAGCTTGTAGATGGAATGGCGACCCCTGGCCAATTCCACGAGCGCATCAGAGCTAGGCATTTGAGAAGGCATCTTCACTGATCCAGTGGACGAGAAAGGTCTAATCGCAGAAGCAGTAGTAGTCACCAAAGGCGAAGGCGTATTAACAGCAACGTTGCTCCGTAATCCAAACAATGAAGAAGAGGAAGGGAAAACCCGACGAGCAAGAACCCGGGGGACAGCCATGATATTTGTATGCGTTGTAGCAACGAGATTGATATTTTCGGTGAAGACCAATAAAGCAAGCCCCGCCAAACAAATTCCGATCAGCCCAAGGAGATGTAACCGCATGATCAACAACACCTTTCTCCTTCTCAGTTAAAAGCATCCGCGGAAGAAGAGGCCAGGGCGGCGCGGAATTACGGATGAAACGCTTATTAATGGGGGCGATTTTCGCCTTCCAGACACATGTACTTGGTTATTTGGACTGGACTGTTCTGGTTACTCTGTTCAGGGCAAAGACTTCCTCCGCGCTGGGAAAACTTGATGTCAATTGTGGGGTTCTATTACTTTGATTATTGCATTGACTTCGGAATAGTCTTCTCCTTCTCCTTCTCTAGGCTTCGAGGTCGGTCGGTGAATTGGCCTCCGTTCGGGGTATTCGGTCGGGTATGCCGATGCTTGGGGCGAGTGGGGTGACGTCATTGCTTGGTGGGATAGTCACCGTGTTGTTAATAGAAGAAAGAATCATAAAGTATACTCAAATGACAGACATTACTATGAGGTAGATTATAGTCCGTGTAAGTGTATACATTATGCAATAAAACCATAGAGTAATAGGTGAATCCCTAGTGTACACATCAAGCAAGAACCACAACCGAAATCGAGAATGAGGAAAAAAAAAAAAGGATGCATCAAATTTGTAGCAAGACGTATCACTGACCCTCCCTGCCCCGATGAATATGCGAGAGATGCAATAGTGAATGGAAATTGCCAATCGAACATTAATAGGTAAGTAAAGACATGATATCAAAAGCACGATGAAACGAAAAAAGAAAAGGCCGTCGTCAATCATTACCGTGCAACTTCCATAAGTAATGGGCCGCCTGGTGCATGTCTCAATAGGGTGCTGTGAACCCCCAACTGTCGCAGCTGCTATTGCAGGTTGTAGCTGTAAGACGCAGAAAACAGTTCAGGACAAGTCATTATGGGACCCTATATCGAGGACTGTGAATGCGCCCGTGGACTCTGCTGAGCACACTCGCTTTCCGATACGTTGTTCTTGGCCCCTGCGTACCAGTCCTCCACAATCAATTGGTGCTCCAGGTCGAGCCAGTACTTGGCTTTCCCGCCAGCCCCGGTCTTGAGGTCCAAATCCCCCAGCCTGATCTCCACACGGCCGGAATCGTCGCGTGGCATCTATGCTGATGTTAGCGGACACGTGGCGCGCTGGCGAAAGTTATTTATGTACGTACCCTTATGAACATTGTACAGTCTCGCAGTGTCATCGCAAGCGACTTATCTCGCGAACTTGGCGGAGGACCGTAAAGCCCCACATCCTGTAAGGCTTTCTGATGTGTCAGGAGCCTCTGCAGCGTTCCATTTCGATAAAGTACCTTTGCCAGCCGTGCCTGGTCTTTGCATCCCTTGACAAATTGGGCCGCACGGAGGACATTGTCGAACCTGTCAGATACCAGGTCGAGTGGGCAAAAGGATTGTTCCTCCGCCAATCCTTTTCTGCGCGCTTTTTGGTTCTTCATATCGCGGAGTGCGCAAGTTCGGCATCTCCGGGAGTTAGGTGGTGCAGAGGGAGATTGTATTAGCCATTTAGGTTTCAACTCTGAGAGCGTCGTCCCAGGAATGCTGAATGTAGTCATGTCTGTTATGAGTAGCCCAAACGGCTCCGCCGTAGAGAGGTACACCCCTTGGCGCCGTTTTGGACGTTGGCCGTTTCGCTCTGCTGCCTGTAGCTGTTCATTACACCCCTGAACAAGCCCTCTGGGGAGGTAAACGAGCTCCTGATCAACTAGCTCTTCTGGTTTGAAAAGAGGACGAATGCATCTATCAAAATTGCGTGCAATCTCCTGATAGGAGATCCCTGCGCTCGTATTCTTCCGGAGTCGGAGCAATTTACCCTTGAACATGGAAGGCACCTGGAGCGTGCCCATTGAACTAGGCAGTGAGTTGGAAACAGTCACAGGGAGGTCATTTCTTCGATCAACGTCCATCTCTGCCGGAGAGAGGATTCGATAGATAACATTGGCGCCGCCTTCCGCGAGGTAAACGAGCCGAGCTCCTACTGGGAGCTCTAGTAGATTGGGCTTTGTCATTGGTCAGGTAAGTGGAAGACGAACAATGACGATGGTTGTCGACTGAGAAAAAAACCATGACAAATGCCACAGGCAGATGTCCTCAAGAATGCCTACAGCCCTGGTTAATATAGTAGCAAGCGTTCTAGCTCCGTGGTATGCGCGCAACGTGATGTATATAGTCACGTGGGCTGATTTAGTCCCGCAGGGAAAAAGTCCGAGGCGCAGCAGGCAAGAATTCAGTGTGCAGTTGAAAAGGGAACATGCAGCCTCTTCATGTACGCAGATGCAAATCACTTAAAATGGACACTGGGTCTTCCAGGGGGATGGATAAGCGTCCAGCGCAGCGCGAGCGTGAACGTGGAGAGAGGGGAGTAGCTGATCTAAATACTAGTTCAAAAGTCGGGCGAATCTTGTCTCTTCAGCTGTCTCTCTTTCACTCCGGCATTCACGCTTTTTTGCAAGTACGGAGCCTCGTTATAATCGGCCAATTGGCTTTCAGCGGAAGGGAGAATAAGTTGCTCGACCAGATTAAACGGGCTGTGCCCACTCTTCTCAGGTGATCGATCTTTAGAATTAAGGTCTATTCATTCACCCGCACGGCGAGTGATGAGCTCAGGGATTCTGGAGGGAAATCCTCCAACCCGATTGCGTCTAGTGGCAATACTCGCTAGATCTGGAAGGGCGAGCCTTGTGCAGGGATCAGGTCGTCGCAGCCCCGTGGCGCTTGGCCGTGCGAGCCTTAGGCGGATTGCATGCCAATCATATCACGGCGCGCAGATTAATCTCGAAAGGCCTGAGTATTGTCACCACACCGCGCATCTAACGCTTCAAGCGACACGAGCAGCTAGCCAATACTGCGACAAGATAAGTAAGACTTCGTAAATGGGAAAGTAACGAGTAGTGGTTACCCTCCGAAGCGAAGTCTGGGTGAGCGCTTAAACGCAAGGCGTCGGGCACACAGACGTCGACAGAGCCCGGGTCCTGGACGCTGCACAGCGACGAGAAGAGGCGGTCAGAAACGTGGACAGCTGAGCAGACGCTGGTTGGAGGTTGACTGTAAGGAGTACAAGGAAGAGTTGACTGGACGTCACGGAATATGCTAAATCATGCGAGCGATACTGCCGTAGTCGCTAGTGAACTATCGGGACGAACTAACGAAGCGCACTGGAAGACAAAACGGTCGGACCAGCAGGGCTGCGTCAAACCCGGTCGGACGGGCTGCTCAGAGGAAGGGTTCGCCGATTGAATGGAGCGAAAGTGGCCTCAGTCGGGATTATAATTGATCAAGGAGGGTGAGAGAAGCCAGTGAGGATAGAAGATTAGCCACGAGACGAGAGATGTCGATAAATCTAGGTTGGTTAATGCGAATTTGGTTCCAGAGGGGCGGACCGAATAATTGCAGATGACAGACGACCCAAGCAAGGGCCCAGTGCGGTTTGGCGATTTGAAGGCGTTCTTCCTTCCCGTTTATCCTGCCAGAGCCTCGAGCACCTCCTTTGTCTTCTCTGCAGGCCATTGTTGGCCATATGTCCTCTTGTAAGTTGTGTTCCCCTCTCATAAGAACAGAGTGGGACGACTATTGATTTCCCTTCTTGAAAAACAGAAAAAAAAGAGCAAGGAATAAAAAGAGGGTCACCAGAGGAAAATCGGACAAACGATTCGCTAGTAAAACTAGCATCTGCCCCAGGATCGTTAGATCCAGATCCATCTTCCCACACCCACAGCAGTAGTCTAGTAGATAGTGAGTCTAAGGGCATCCTCGGCCGTCGGCCCAAATTTAGTACAAATCGGCCATGATGCTGCTGGGGGCGCTGGAATCCGGGGAAGGAGGGAAAGAAAAAAAAAAAGCAAACCTGCATCGAAGGAGCACTAATTCCTCCCGGTCGGGGTTTGCCATGGTAAAGTTGGCTTCAGATATGAGACCTCACAAACCGATCCACAGCAACCCATTGTGCTCAAGATACATCTTCCATCTTGGTTCTGGAGTGATGTGTTGTCCGCGGAAACGTACAGATCTTCGACGGTGGAGTTGTCTGGGAGTAGTCCACTTCTTGCCTATCTGACCAACTTCCTCAGAGAGCGGTTGGGATTATATTCCACCATAGAGAAGCGAGGAACGAACAATTCCGATGATTATAAGCTAACAGCCAATGCGCATCTCATGATAGAGTGGCGTAATGGCAATCCGCACTGCCTGAAGTCACGGTTGCCCCTCCGTGCGCCGTTAAGGCCCCGCGCTTGGGATGAACTCCTCATTCTGCCCGCCAAAGTGGCTGGCTGCTCCCACTTGTCAATCCATTCCATCCTCCAGTAAAAATAACCCTCGCGCAATCAGATCCCAATTCTATTTGGATTAGTTTCGACAAACTAACTTACTATCCTACTCCAATCTGATTCTGCATAACAAAAATGGCCGAGACATCCTCATCCATCCCGACTCCCCCGCACTGCACCGCCGATTTCTGCTTGATCCCAGTGGGTGATTTCATTTCCTATCCAGTTCCCCCCAACTCTACCTACCTTGCACTTAGTTATTCGCCTCATGCTGCCTGACTATCTCCACATCGTACCCATGCCATGGCTACTACTTATCTATCCATGCAATCACTACCCAGTTCGGTCTGCATGTCATCAGACCGAGGGGGTGAAAGTGACGTGACACATTCATTCATTCATTCCCATCTTGTCCAGCATCAAGCAATCAATCAAGCAGTCATCCCACATGCGTGGATGCACCAGGATCATGACCCCACGAAGCAAACCTTTGGCCATGTCCTATTTTGATTCCCTGAACTCAGCTAAGAACTTACGCTACTGGCGATAATAGATCGGCACATCATCTCCCTCCGTGTCCGCCCAAATAGCCGATGTTCAGCGCCTTATTGAGAAATCTGGCCTGAAATACGTCATGCATTCAGCTGGGACCACGCTCGGTATGTATACCGCTATTGGATTTATCCTCCGATAGCCAATATTATTGATGTGCGCGTGCGCATATGTATGTTTATTGGCTGACGTCTATCATAGAGGGTCCTTGGGATAGAGTTCATCAGGTTATTGGTCAAGCGCATACGATTCTTCATCAGCAGGGTATTGTGAGGATTCAAACAGATATTCGCGTTGGCTCGAGGTGTGTAATTGCTTTTCTTGTTGGCTTGTTGGCTTGCTTCTGTTGTTTTCTTGGTTTGATGTTGTGGTGGGGGGCTTGGAGACTGTTGTTATCTACTTGCTTGGGTGGGCGGTGGTTACACAAGCTAACTATTCTTGCTTACAGAACCGATAAGGAACAGTCCTTTGAGGACAAGGTGAACAAGGTCCGTGAGTTGTTGAAAAACGACTAAGCAGATACTACAAGGGTATGTGCGTGGTACTCGATTGAGTGGAAACGCTCCAGCAGTTGCACCTTTCTTTATATGCTATCGCTTATGGACATGGTATAACGATCATATCAGTTAGATACACTGTGCAACATATGATAATCATCCGAACGCCAACCTGGTACCCTTATTTATAGCAAAAGGAATGTCGTGAGGCTCGTCCAAACCTTAAAAACCAGCGCTGATGTTGCAACTGTAAATATGTGGAATAGATGCAAATGACAATGTACTAAATAGGCTAGTAAATTCAAAATGAAGGGAGAAAGGACGGTGAAGACACCACAAAGTATGAGGTCTCAGCGGTCAGCTTAAACTGCAATACCGCCGCCCAGCAGACTTCCCCAATCTCCACCAGCCCAGATCCACTCGCCCATGCTGGGATTCGCCCCATCTTTGGCTTTTTGGACGACTTCGACCAGGCCCTTGAAAACGTTGGAGTACGTGGAGGCCGAGCTTGTGACGCTGACAGAAGTCAGGTTCTTCCGTCCAGTAGCGTTGGTGACATTGTTTAGACTGTCCACGGTATCGATGGCGGGACCCTTGTCGAAGAAGTCGACCAGAATGAAAGTAGGCTGGCGGCCATTGTACTCCTTCTTGCATTTCGTTGCTGTGTCTCCAAGGTTTCCTGTTCCTCCGGAGGCCGCATTGGTGGTAGAAATGTAGCTGACGTTGGGGTACTCGATGTCCAATGTCTCTTGGTAAAGGAAGTGGTTCATGAATGGGAGGCGGTTGGAAGACAGGGCGGTGGAAAGCTCGTTCTGGAGGCTCGTGGGACGATCGGGCTCGCAGGAGAAGTTGGAGGCGGAGGTCACATCGTAGTTGTTCTCCCAGATAAAAGTGAACTCGTCCATCAGATACGGTGCTACAGTGTTGCTTGAAGCGTCCAAAGAGGCCACGAAAGTCATCAACCGGGTACCATTATTGATCAGTTCCTGCAATGTTGGCCACGAGCTCGGTGCGGAGGTTTGCGAGGTAGGAGTGTAGGTGTAGTTGGTGAGATTGGCCGTTTCGAATTGCGAGTGCAGATCAGAAGCTGTTGCGTCGTCTGAGTTGACCAGCAAAACAGTCACAACTGAGATTTGACAGAATATATTAGTTTTCAGTTCGTCTGGGAATAATTGCAGTCTGTCACCAACGTACCATCATTGGGGTTGGAGTCCAACCAGCTTTTGATATCTGACAGCCATGTACTCAACAGTCCTGCATCTAGATAATCGCAACTAGAGTGACATAGACGCCACTGTGAATTCGACTTATGGACTTGAGCTGTGACGAGACGGACACCAGCGTCAAGCTGGAGCGTAGTATTGTAGTATCTGTGACGTGGTCAACAAACCGCATTGACGTTCTGCTTTCCCAATCCAACTCACTGGTCTCCAAAGGTAGAGTAATCTGTCGAGGCATCTCGTAGAAACGGACTGTCGTGTGCACCCAGATGAGTGATTTCTCCGTATGACTTGGAACACAAGTCTGGGGAGTTGTTGCATGCAGTGGATCGCGGCCGTACAGCCTTCGCCGCTGCGAAGGGAAGGAGCGCTAGAACTCCCAGTCCTAGCATGCTGATTGCGCGTTCTGGTTGGGTGGAAAAGGATATCAATCGTTCAGATGCTATATAAGCCGGTAGGACTCATGCAAAAAGAATTGGCTGCGAAGTCCAAGCAACAAGTGATACACACCGAATGCGCGTATATCAAGAAAAGGGGAAATTATCCGTCTACTTATTTCAAGGGTTTAATTAATTGATGCGCCAGATGAGTGAGAATTATTGTTTCAGCAAAGAAAAGAGGGGGAAAGGGAGAAAGAAGAATCAGACACAGTAAGCATCCAACCTTCGGGCCATAAAGGATGTGTAAAGGATGTGGATGATGCAGGCGAGCAGGCAGAGCAATAATCAATAAACCCCACTCGTGAAAGCAATGAGTGAATTGTGCAGAGAGTGTGGACTACCAAGACGCACTACATGGACTCCTAAAGCCTGAACCACGGCAACAACCGCGCCATTTGGCTTGGATCACCCCTACGGGTCATGAGAAAGTTAAGAGGGCAGTGTTGATCTACCAGTGACGGTGGGCCGGTATGAACAAGGCTCTGGGAGATGGAGTCTGGCCGCGTTGCCTGCCAGCCTATTCTTAGGAACAAGGGTCGGTCATGACTGCTCCTGTTTCGCATTTGCTGACGGGCCACGCCATCTGCGCGTGGCGAAGCCCGCCCATGTTTGTCTCGTTTGTTGTGTGGCCGCGTTGCCCCGGTTTCTTCACGTGAGCGGTGTGTCTTGTGCTGGGCTAGTATTACAGTAAAATTGTTGTTCTATCGTATGTGTTGCTATGTGGTATATTGTACATATATAATTTCACCGGCTACTCACAAAGGCTGCCCCTCGCAGGCTCTTTTCCCTCAAGAAGGTTCGACGTGTTCGACGTTGAGACATCTTCGAGCTGGGTGGGTTAACCAGCCGATACACATCCCTGGGCTCCCAACCTTGGAGCAGGAGGGGCTGTCCCCACGCACGGTCAATATCTCCCAGGACTCGCTCCACACTATATGGGTTTTCCCGTCGCAACATGCGACTCATGTGACGACTGGAGCGGCGAGGTCGTCCGTATAGCACCGCAAGCCGGTGCCGGCAAGCCCGTCTGATCCATCTCGTCCAAAGCTGCACACCGTTCTGTCCAAGCTCGCGAAGGAGAACAAGACCACGCACCCAAGGAACAAAGTTCTCATCATCCGTGTGGAAAGGATTATAGTCGTCTCGTTTGGAGGAAACACGCATCCGGAACCCCCAATAGACAAGAGCGGCTTGCGTCTGTTTGCTGAATATAGCCCCGAGGATGGAATTGCGCTGTTGGTCCGGTGAGATAGCATGAGACGATTGCTGTACAGTCGATAGCGATATGATCTGGAGAGGAGCGTGGTCTTGTTGGGGCTTAGAAGAATAATAACGGGCCAGCCAGAGACAACATGTTCGAAGCTCATCCCAACAATTCATCATGCCGAATCGCTTGATCATCTCGACCCAAAGGTCAGGAGACACAGAAGCACCCACAGGAACGATGCGTCGTAAGACACGGAAGAGAAAGGTTACTTCCACGACTTCTGAGCGACGCTGACCCTTGATTGGGCTGACACCGGGCCTGCGAGGAGTCAGGACCTTTTCAACCATGAAGTCAATGCTTTCTTTGGTGAGGCTTTGACTGCGCAGTGCCATTTCATCAACCAGCTTGGAGGCCAGAGTCCACTCGCCAGCTGCAAGATGTTTTCTGAAATGAATGTTGAACAGAGCCGGCCCTTCGTTGGATAGTTCACTTAAGATTGCCAGGGTCATATGATAATGACGCCAATCCTTACTAAGATAGTAAGATAGAAGTAGAGACTCTTGTATGCGCGCATCCTCAAGGACGTCGGGATGCTCATCGCTGTGGAGCAAGTCCGATAAGAGTATGTCGCGGTTCTCCGTGGCGAGCTTGCGAAGAAGACGCACGAAGACAGAGTTCCCCAGCGAGATGCCTGCTCGTTCGAGCTTTCGGAGCTTACTCAGTATATCTTGGCTCCCCCGAGCTCTGAGCGCCATCTCTCGTAGAGATTGCGGTCCAAGAGCTGGCACGCCAAACATTTTCAAGCCAGAAAGGATTGTATCGAAGTTAAGAGCCTCCGTAGCAAAAATTCGGGCGCCGAATTCATCCTTTATTGGTCTCTCTTCATGCGCAACCTTTCCTTGAGTTTCTGCAGCAACTGTGTCAGGATCATCGGTTTCGTTTAGCTTTTCAGGGAATCGTTGGGAGGCATAGCGGTGGAGCTCTTGGTAGGACGACCACGGCCCGTACTGTTTGGCGCTCTCTAGTACTGGCTCGAATTCGTCGAAGGAATGTGGATGGTCATTTTCTTGAATGAGGAGTCTGTGCATTGAGAGCGCATCGTCAAGACGGCCACAGCGCAACAGGGTAGACATGATGGGAGCATAGATCTGGTGGCCTGGAGTCATACGGCAGATGCTACGGAAGGCCCATAAGCTTGATGAAGCAGCCCGCCCCCTGGTCTTTATCGCTCCAGTAATTCTATGTTGCTGTCGAGCAGGAACGGTCGGCCGGAAGACATGTAAAATATCGTTCGGGCGTGTCAAATGAGGATGATGAAGGCGTTTGTGCCATTCAACAGCCTGCTGCGTCATGCCACGGTCAATAAAGCCACCAACGACAGCCTCATAGAAACCCTCCCAGCGCTTCCCCGTTGTATTCCAAAGCGCCAGCGCATAATTAGCGATTTCGTTCAGAATGACACCGTGCCGTATGCCAGCTTCCACAAAGCTTTGCCAAAAGAAATCAGCGACTTCTCCTTCAACGGGCAGTTGCACACCATCAACGCGGCTCGTCAAGCCCTCCCAAATATCCAACGTGCCTTTATCACCATAATGACGTTGCCGGTAGCGGAGTAACTCCTCCCAGAGAGCGAAATCGTTCCGATGCACCGGGTCGTCTATTAATCGGGTTCCGATGTCATCCGTATGTCCTATGTCCGATTCAAATTCCAATCTCTCTGGTTGTAACGCAAGGCTACGAGAGCTTATCCCGGTGAAGCTTTGAGCCGTGTCGCCAGAGCTTCCACTTTTAGCTGCGGCCTGTTTGTGTGGCGTATTAATTTCGTATATGCGGAAGCTGAATGCTCGCCTCGTTGATGGAAAAGAGGAATCGTTCGCAGGCGTTTGTTGCAGCTCCGCAGCTGGCGCACTTCTCGCCTGTTTGTGAGTCTTGGATAAGCATCGAACACATTTAGCTGTGCGTCGAACGTCCAATTGTTCAAACCCAATTGGCATCGATATCAGGGAGTCGAGAACCGAGAGAGCTGACGGCCTCTTCAGTAGTCGAAGAAGAGCCGGGCGCATGAGGTTTGAGGAAAGGAGAGCGAAAGGAAGGCGGCAGTAAATCTGACCATCCTCGTAAATCGCACTCTATCACGAAGTGTGTTAGTGGCACATGTGAACACAGGTAACTGGCGGCTTTCTTCTGCTCTGCACACCTTTGATTCCGCGGACTACTTTTCTGGGCACGCCGGGCTTCCACCAGAAACACGCTATACTCGCTACGGTTAGAAGCTTACATATTCACGTGATAATTATTAAGCCTCGCATCCTAAAGGCGGAAGTGGGAGGATAGTCACGTGATATTCAAGGACCGTTCGGGTCCACACTTCACGACATCGACTGATCATTGTTGCTGCTAGCCTCTCATCTGCCATTGTCCCTCCTACCTCCTCCATAACCCCCATTGTCGCTTTCGCGCACCGCCAAAATGTTCCGCACCGCTCCTCGTATGGCTGGGTATGTTCACTGATTTCATTTCCTTACTTGTTCCCCCGCATGGCTTCCTGAGCGCGGCCGGGCTGACGGCTTGTCGGTCGGGACTGTTGGCTGCTCAATTGCGTAAATATTCCATGCAATTGGGACTCGGAAGCGAACCTTTACACTGGATTGACTTGCTAACATATTTGCCTTCCCATAGATTCGTGTTCCGTGAGAACCGTGTCCCTTACTACCAGCGTCTTTTCCAGCAGCACGACGGCAAGCGCCAGTGGTGGAAGGTCCGTTGATCTGCGAATCGATCGTAACTTACGAAAGCAACAAGAAAGCCTAACAAACGAACTCTCTATAGACTGAGCGCAGTGGTTACCTCATGTGGCCCTACCTGATCTCCGTCTACGGAATGGGCATCGGTAAGCGCCTTAAATACATAAATAAAGATGGACCACGGCTAATGCATATCTTCCTTAGCTACCACCTACGCTATGGGTCGTATGGTCTTTGTGAGTTGCACCTTGGAATTTGGGTTTCAAAGGGGAACCTGTGGAATAACAGATTTACTAATGCTCATCCTAGGGCCACAAGACCTGGTTCGGCAAGGCGTAAATGGGGTCCTCGCCAACTTTGACACAGTGTACCTCTATTTCTATGATAGGCAGCTAGAAAGAAAGATAACTGACGTTGTATATAACTTTCTCCAAAGCGTCAAAGCGTTAATATTTGCCTCATGTTCTATCGTATATCGCCGAGTACCCTGTGTCCTAGCCATACTCGGCTTGTTTTGGGTGGATTTACAAGAATCGACCAACAAACCGAGTAGAAGTCGGATGGAAGGAGTCTATGGCTGTACCCTTACATGCGTCTGAAGATACATGCCATAGCATATAAAGGTTGCAAGACCTAGTAAACGCTTATGGACTTACTACAATGACACGTTGGGACGCTGCTGGACTTCCTCGGTTCAGCTAGCATACCCTGCTCCAGGGTCATGAACATGGTATATTGTTCAGCTGCAATGGCCGCTTCCCCTCGCAAGACTGCCAAGTGTGGCTATCGTCGCTCAGAGTTATTGTATGTAGTTACCTGATCAAGGTGAAGCTTGTCCGTGGATTAGTCATCCATGGATGCATGGCACTTTATCCAAATTGGGAAACAAGATACGGCCAAATAGTTGACAATCTGCGGAAGGCCATCTAACGTTGGGCTGATAGTTCAACCTCACAATCTCCAAAATGTTCAAGCCATAGTACATATCGTCTGCTTTGTGATTTGAATATCAAGGCGTAGATAGCCTTACAATGAAGATAATAGTCTATGGTAACTGCCACCTGTCAATGAGGATACCTCGGAAGTGGGGATATTGTACCTCTTAGGAGTGTATGAGCGCTCCTGCGCACGGCAGCACAGGAGTTCAACAAGCAGGAGTAACTGACAGTGATTTCTCAGTATGCTATGATTTATATACAACATTGCAAATTTACGCGACTATAAGGGTGTGACATGGCGTCCACATCTGCTGAGCGGCCGGCTAAGCGAGTGCGGCAAGCTTGTGAACCATGCAGGTGAGACGGAACATCTGTCCGATCTTGTACTAAATGACGCACTATTCACTGACTTTTCGCAGACGTAAGAAGGCAAAATGCCCTGGGGAGCAGCCAGTCTGCTCCTTATGCGCCCGGTTAAACCAGCAATGCGCCTATGCTGGAGAACAGAGAAGATCTTCGACAACTGGGCTTCCCATCCCACGGGAGGCGGCTTCCGTTCCTCCCAGCTCAGAAAACAGGATATCGGAGATCTTGGTGAGACAAGATGTAGTCCAGGGTTATTGCTGAACACTGCTAACCTACCACAGGAGGAACGACTGGGGAGCCTGGAAGCAAGAATGGGGCAAGTTCTTGATGCCCTGGGGTAATCCATCGCTCCCCCGGATTCGATGTGATCCATATTCTAACTTGTTCGATCTAGGCAGAACACCCCCAGACAAGAGCCACGGGAAACTGCTCCTCGCACTGCTGTCATGAGTAATGCCGTGGCATCATCCCTTCTAAGCCCAACCATTCCCTTTCCCACCTGGGAAAAGGTGCTCTCGATGGCTGAGCTGTATCTGACGTATTGTCACTCTCAGCCTCTTCCACTCTTTCAAAAGGAAGGCTTTCTCAATAGCCTGGGGAGCCGTGACCCAGAGATAGTATATGCCATGTTGGCGCTGAGCATTCGGTTCTCCCCGGAGGAGAGTTCGCGGACTGGGGGGTTTACGTCTCTTATAAATGGCTATACGGAAGTAGCCAGGGGCTTGGTTATGAGGAGGGTTTCGGAAGGACCAATAGAGCTCTCAACTCTCCAGAGCCTATGTCTCTTGAGCCTGGTGGATTTTGCCAGTAATGTGGCCGCTGACATGCTTAATGGACAGCTTTGCTAACGTGCTTACTACTAGATGGAAACACGCACCGCTCAAGCATCCATTGCAGTTTGGCAATGAACCTGGCACAATGTGCCAACCTTGGCTTAGAGTCTGGGTTAGCACAATCCCCTGCTGCACGCGAAGAGCGTAGGCGCTGCTTCTGGAGTATCTGTCTTTTGAAGCGCCTTCACGGAGTCGATTTCGACAACCTAGATTTTCCTGATGGCTGCTTTCCTCAGTTCCCAGAAAGTCCTAGCCGGCCGCCTCCAACGAAATCATCAAGCAATGGAATGAATGAAACACGGTCATCAGGAATGCAGGATCAGGGTATCTTAGCCTACGTGATCATGCTCAGTGAAATTTTTGCGAAAACTGCAAAATATGTTAGACGCCATGGAAAGCCTAGCAACGTACCCCCTTGGTCCTCACAATCAGAGTATTCGAGAATCTTGACTGCCCTTATGGAACGGGAAACGCAAATGCCATACAGCCACAGATTCAAGCCAGCTAACTTGAGTGAAAGAACGCTCGAAGATCTCCAAGAAAGGAGGGATTACTGGGGCCCATGGTTACTGAACCAATTTCTATATCATACGATTTTGTGTCTTTTAAATCATCCGCTCTTGCTCTCTCTCAGCCTCCGAAATTTTCGCAGTACGATTCCAGAGATTTTCCTACAGCACAGCTCGGATTTGATCTCATCGCACACGACATGGATAATTCATTTTATTGACTACTTCGAAGAGAGGTCTTTTGTTGTCTCGGATCCCTTCTTGGGCTATAGTGCTGCCGTGGTAGCAACAATTGAGTTACAGCTTAGCTTCACGGAGAATACTACAATTCGCGAAGAAAAACGCAACAGGTTCTACAAATGTGTTAGTTTCGTGCAAAATCTAGGATGCAAGTGGTCACATATGGCACGTTTGGTAAGGCAATGTCCTTCCATACTTGCGTTTATCTGCTGACACCTTGACAGGCGGACAGATTGCAAAGATTGGAAGATGCCGTGTCAGCATCCTATGAACTTGAGTCTGGTGCTCAGAATAAGTACTTACTTATAGATCTCTCGCGCTTCTGGGAGATTCTCGAGTATTCCTCCAATAGTGATGCAGAGTCAGCCCGTCGCATGTTTGGGGACTCACTCTATTCAGAAGCTCCTACCCCTGGAGCTGAAGTGTCTCAGACTTCCCCTCTACCGGAGCCTTTTCGCTTACACACACAGCAAGCTCTGGCACAGTCACCAACCTCTCAATTCAATATTCAGACCCCTATCGTTACGGCCGATGCGCAGTACCCCATGGGTGTTGGCTCGCCTTCATACGATGAATTCTCAATATTAGCTACGAACTTCTTTTCTCAAGCCCAGGACTTTCTACGAAGTGGTGATCCAAGGAACGGCTTTGGAAATCTATAACCTCAACAGTACGGGTCTATCATAGAGTTCCTACTTCAGTTATTTGCTTTTGCACAGTGGCTGTGGACCATGTCGCAGTGAGAGCTTCAACAAATCTAAGAATCAAATAATTTGGTATCTATCTAAAAAATCATTCATCGGAGCGAACTTGACAAATCTGGTCTCAGTCCTGACCAAATGATCTAGTGAGACCCATCACTGCTGCAGTGCATCCTTGAAGATCTTCACAAATGTCCAAACCTCGCTGAAGCTGTTGTACAAAGGAACCGGAGCGACACGCACAACACCCGGCTCCCGTTTATCGCAGACTATTCCTGCTTCTTGCAACTTCTGTGCAACATTCTGTAATAGACCAGGCTTGAGCAATAGACTCAGTTGTGCGCCTCTCGCCTCGGGGTCCTTGGGCGTGATAATGCTGAATGGCCTAGATTCTTCTTCATAATCCCTGAGCAAAAGGAACTCAAGGTATGCTGTTAGCTTCAATGATTTTCTGCGAAGATCTGCCATTGACGTCTCATCAAACACCGATAAAGCGGCACAAAGACACGCAAGGTCGATGGCCGAAGGATTTGATATCTGAAATCCTCCTGCCCCAGGAATAGGTTTGAACTCTGGTTATCAATCGTATCAGCTTACTAGCCCACAAAATTGTTCTATAGCCAAGTGCACACATACTGTTGTCCATCTTGAATCTTACCGATCGATCGCCACCATACCACCCGGTCAGACGATGGCGGAATTTGGGTGCATCTTCTCCCGCGCTGTAATCGACCTCTCCGTGTTGTTCATGCACGAAAAGCCCCCCCATTGCTCCAGGACCGGCGTTTCCGTACTTATATGTGCACCATGCTGCAAAATCAACGTTCCAATCATGCAGCTTTAGCTCAACATTAGCGAACGCATGGGCCAGATCCCAGCCAACAACCATGTTGCGCGAATGGGCATATTTTGTAATTTTCTGGATATCGAACAGTTGCCCAGTATAATATTGAATACCAGGAAGAAGAATCATAGCAGCCTCATCAGCATGCTTGTCGATATAAGAGAAAATCTTCTGGGTGGATATCTCGTATTCGCCTTCATCTGGACCGATGAGCACCATAGACTCCTTAGGATCCAGGTCATGCCAGGCAATATGAGATTCGATAGCGTACTATATAATCGTCAGTGCCGTGATAGCAGAAGGCAGCTTCTTTCGAACTTACGTGATCACTTGGGAAAGCCTTCCAATCCATCAAGATCTTGTGCTTTGTTTGAGTCGGTTTATAGAAACTAGCCAGCAGAAGATGAAGGTTCGTTGTAAGTGTTCCCATCGCTGCGACTTCTTCTGGCTTTGCTCCCACAATCTTGCTCATTGAATCAGCTGCTTGCTCTGAGAGCAGCTGCCATTGCTTCAAGGGTGAGCCCTCAAGATCAGTGAAGTGGCCGCCAACTCCAATAGATGACCAAGTGTCCAACTGTGCTTCTAAGTACTTTGCTGTGGCCTTGGGTTGAATGCCAAGTGAGTTACCGCAGAAGTAAATGCATGACTCGGGCGAAAGGCCTGTGACATTAGTGACGAGGTCTACAGTTGCCAGGATGGAACCCACCAGGCTTTGCTAGCTTTTTGGAAGCAATATTTGCTTTCGATGGGACGATGAACTTCTCCCGAAATGCAGCAAGTCTATCAGAAGAGTCTAGAGATGCTGCATATTCCTTTGTCGCTGCTTCGGCGGGGAATGCCAGGCTGACGCCATTCGACTTCGACATTGTGGATTTTGGATAGTAATTAAAGTGCAATAACTGGGTCCAGGATATCAAGAAAAAATGGATGAACACCAGAAACAATCCGCTGACCGTCACCAATTAACATTTATATATGGACCGGCGTGTGACACAAGGCACTTCGGTTTGTCCCTCCCTCCGGATCCGGATACCGTTCCGCTTCCGCCTCACCATCCGTGTTGCCGGAAGTGAGATAACAAAGCATCCACTCCAGAAATCCGGATGGTTGCTAAGTTTTCCGCTAATCCACTGCCTTTCTGCCTGAGAATGGTCGTTGTGAAACGGGAAATGACCCGTCTTTGCTCATGCAGGTGGCCCTATCTCGAGCCCTCTGGATCCGGTTTTCTTCCGTCCCTCCTTGGGAATACAATATAAACACTTGGATCTACTCTTACCTGCATGAGGATCATTTCAAGGAGGCTTGAATATCAAGTTGTCTACTGAAGTGCATATATTATCATGCTTTATACACAAGACATTTCACTTGTTGCGTACGGTGTCTCCCTCCAGAACGGGTTCCTCCCGGAAGTTCCTCCCGTACGGAGATTGGAAGACCCTTACTATTCCCCGTGGGAGGAAATCGCTCAGGACTTGCCTGGCCTGATTCAGTCTGGTACTATCAGGAGGTCTGTCGATGACCTGGGTATACTCTCTACGAAGAAGTTGAAGGGGGAACCTGAGTGGCGGAGAGCATATGTTGTGCTTGCTTACCTTACACACGCCTACATCTGGGGTGGTGAGAAGCCGAAAGATGTATTACTCCCCTTCAGAATCGAGTCTTTTATTCAATCCCTCTTTTCTTGTCTATCACTGCATGGCCCGTGCCTTCGCTGACATCAACTATACAGGTGCTACCCCCCTGTATATCACGCCCATTCATCGAAGTTTCGAACCACTTAGAGCTACCACCATGTGCTACATATGCTGCCCTCAATCTTTGGAACTTTTCAGTACCATCCACTGATACAGACGTTACGGATCCAGACAATTTATCAGTGGTGACCTCGTTCACAGGCACCAAAGACGAAGAATGGTTTTTCGTCCTCTCCGTCGCTATCGAGGCCAAGGGAGCACAGCTCATCGAGCTAATGCTGGATGCTATGCATGCAGCTAATGTTGATGATAGCCAGCGTGTTATTTCTCGTCTGGAGCAGCTCAATTATGGTCTCAAGGAACTCGGTGACCTCTTGGAACGCATGTATGAAAAGTGTGCGCCGCCCGTCTTTTACCATCAATTACGTCCATACCTAGCCGGCAGCAAGAACATGGCATCGGCCGGGCTGCCAAACGGCGTATTCTATGATGTTGGGGAAGGACGAGGCGAATGGCATCAATACAGTGGTGGTAGCAATGCTCAAAGTTCTCTGATCCAAGCCTTCGACATTTTCTTGGGTGTGGAACATTCGGCCACTGGGGAGACCAAGCCTCACGGCAAGTCGAATCCTCAAGTCATGACTGGTTTTATGCAGGTAAGGACTGATCTTCGAGGAGTTATCCAGACAAAGCAATGTCGATACTGACTGTATATTCAAGAACATGCGAAACTACATGCCAGGCCCTCACCGACGCTTCTTGGAAATGATGCTCCGCACGTCTAATGTGAGATCCTATGTATTAAGTCACAAGCCCGGATCTGCTTTGAGGGATGCATATAACATGGCGGTTATGTCACTTGGGGGATTTCGCGATAAGCATGTGCGGATGGTGACTCGATACATCATCATGGCTGCAAGGACTCCGCCGCCAAACCAAGTATCTTCGAGAACAAACCTAGCCACAACAACGTCGACAATAGTGGACAATTCTCATGAGAAACTCAATGCCGGTGTCAGGGGGACGGGCGGGACAGATCTGATACCGTTTCTTAAACAGACCAGGGACACAACGAAAGCTGCAGCCAGCTACACCGACTAATACCGCAGCGATGCAGTTAAACTTTTGGCTACGCGACCCTTGATACCATAGAAGCAGATCAATTCTTGAATTTTATCATCCCTCACTACTTTCGAGTCATGATCAACTACTAGAGGATCTTCTTGTTGTACAATTACTTCACAAGGACATTTTGGAGACTCACGGCATGCGGGGACGGAAGCGGAGGCGGAGACGGATGGCGGGAAAGCTGGGCTTTGCGATGATATCCGAGAGGATCCGCAGGAACTCCTCTATCTGCAACCACTTACATCATGATAGAAGCACACTTGAATCATTTCTTCCGTGTTTAGCGGGTCGCGTTGTGATTGATGACCCATTAATGTAGTGGATAAGTCGCAGAACTGTTGTTCATAATCACCGAATATACCTCCATTGCGGACATATGACATGCGGCCATTATTCCCATCTTATCGGCAAGCAGGAGAATGATTACACGAAAGGAAAAGAGCTGTAAGAAGGGAGCCAACCAGGCCAGGCGATCTTCCAGCTCTCATTGACACTGATACCCACTGGTAATTCTTCGAGAATGGCGCTAGAACCTCCCCTGTAGTAGTCGACAAGAGGACACACTTGTACCAATACATGGCCCACAGATACTCCCACAGGTAGCACCTACAATAAGTAACGAACTTTTCACATCCCAACATAACAATTGAGCCGGCCAGTTATCCTCGATATTTGCAGAATCCTACCCAATTGAAAGACTCCGAGGAACGAAGTTATCGCTTCCATAATAAGGTAAAAAAGCAAAAAGAAAAACCAAAAAAAAAAAAAAAAAAAAAAAAGCAACACCGATTCGGCGACCTACAAAGCCCTACCGTAGCATATCGGAACCATGATATCTCTCAGCTGAAGCAAGCACCAACCAGTCCTTCCCCAATACATCAGATGAACGAGACATCTGACCAACAACCTACCCTTTTCTCTCCTGCTGGCAACCCAACTGGGAATCGATGCGGTCATTGCTCTCGTGACCGTTCTTCTCTCCCATAGCACCAACTTGTCCTTTCCCACGGGAAACCCCTTCCCTCCCATATCAGCAACTTGCTACCAGATAGAACACAGCCAGCCAGCCTATCAGCCCATCCAATCAAAACCAAACAATCAATTCGACCGGGCAAAATCCCCGACCTGTAACCTGGTATCCAAGTCTCACATTCCGAGCAGGCAGGTCTCAACCAAGTCAAAATCAAGGGGGATGCAAAGCAATCGGCGATTGAAGCTTATCGATCGGCGACCGTCTTATCACACCATCAACGCCATTATGGCGATGCACACCGCAATTCTTGACCAGTGAGATATGTTGTCGCTATTTCGCGGAATTTGGGTACTTTTGAATGTCCTGGAAAGTGATATAGGGGGGCGGTGATGCGTATGTCCTGTGGTCATGGCGTCAATGGGCTTGTGGTTGCTTCTTTAAAGATATCACTAGTTGCTGTTCTCGTTTTGGTGCAGTGGCGGATAAGATAAGGGATATGGATAGATTACTACTGAATTAGGACAGGAATCCGGGGACCACGAAAAGCCTTCAGGTCGGCGAGGTAGGGAATCGGGGATCGGGCTCAAGATGACATTCGTATAGAGTCATATTAGCATCTCGCCCGAGAAGAGAGAGGAATTTTTGTAAGAGTTTTCTACGTATAAAAAGAGAAGACATTCTAGAAAAAAGAATTACTTAATAGACATACGATTCAGGTTATTTGTACGAGGTCAAAAAAGCTGCATGACTGAAATATACTCACCACTATCGCAACATCTACACAACGAACAGAGGAGGCACCAACAGCACATGATGGAACCAATCATCCATCCCATATTCGAGAAACAAACCTCAACATGGCAATACATCGTAGCCTGTCCAGAGACACACGAAGCCGTGATCATCGACCCAGTCCTCGACTTCGATCCATCCCAACTCACCGTGACTACGACCTCAGCCGATGCGCTTCTTGATTTCGCGGCCTCAAAAGGCTACCATATCACGCGAATCCTCGAGACACACGCTCACGCCGACCATCTCACCGCAGCCCACTACATTCAGACCAAGCTTCATCAACAGCGCTCATCCTCTTCATCAACAGAATCAAAGACAAGTCCCAAAAAAGTCCCCATCTGCACCGGCCACCGCATCCGCCAAGTCCAAGCCACATTCGCACAACGATACAACATCCCGCCCAACGACATCGACACCGCATTCGACCACCTCTTCCAAGATGACGAGACCTTCCAAATCGGACGTATCACCGCCCGAGTCCTCCATCTGCCCGGCCACACGCCCGATCACAGTGGGTACATGATAGGCACCAATGTATTCACGGGAGACTCGATCTTCAATCCGGATGTGGGCAGTGCGCGGTGTGATTTCCCGCATGGAGATGCTCGCGCCTTGTATCAGACTATGCGGAAGCTGTTGGCGCTACCGGAGCATGTTAAACTATATACGGGGCATGATTATCCGCCTGCTGTGGAGGGGGGTGCTGCTACTACTACTACTTCTGTACGGGAGCCTAAGGCTTTTGTAACAGTTAAGGATCAGAAAGAACGAAATAAGCATGTGAAGGAGGGGACGGGAGAAGAGGAGTTTGTGAAATGGAGACAGGAGAGGGATGCTGGGCTAGGCGAACCTCGTCTCTTGCATCCTTCGTTGCAGGTTAACGTTCGGGGTGGAAGGATGCCTTGGGTTGATACGGGGAATCGGCGGAGAGCGTTTCTTTGGATGCCTGTGAAAGTTCCCGAGACTTTGGGGAATAGGAGAGGTGTATCTACAATGACTACGTCGTCGGCGGCTAGGATCGGGGGTAGTTCACAGGCTGTTCTGAGGTCTGTTGATAGGTTAAGGATGGTTATGCGGAGGTTTGTATAGATTAGCTGTGTATAGTATGATAGTATTAATTAGATTAACTGGGCATTATTTGTGACTGAAGGATCAAAACCTCCACGTAATGATATGCGCGGTCAAGTGGCCTAGAACTTGGTTATCGTCGTCATGAGCATTTCAGGAGAAGCTGATCTGAACATTTGTCTGTCGCACGCGGTGTAGATCGGATTCCGGGGGTTGTTCAAGGGGTCACTGAATGCTGCTCTGTGGTTAATGGGCCTTTTTCATTGGTTGATGGTTATTCGCGGAGTTCTCATTGGATGATTTTCGATCGCCGATGCGTGTCCTCCGAGTCGCCGATTGAACTTGTTCGGCCATCCAAAAGCTGTGTTGTTGAACAAAGTACGGAGCTGGGACTTTATCTAAAGCTACCAATATCAGCTCCATTAAGGTATAAAGCAACAACGGAATGACTCCAATAGGTACCAAACTTCAACATTCAGCTTAAACCTTGGGGACACAATGGCTTCTACAATGCTTGCATCTTTCCCTGGCGCTGCTACCAGCTACACAACCTCCCATCTGAATAAGGACCCGGCTCCATTACTGGCTGAAAATGACAACTATACATTTGAGCAGCTGGTTCATGACTTGAGAAGCTACCTGGGTAGCTCTCGAGGCATTGATGGCGAGAATGTCGACCACAAGGTTCTGATTGCCTTCATGTCCAAATACGCTTCCAATCCCAATGACTGGTCACGATTTGCACGCAACGATGTGAGCAAGAACTATACTCGCAACCTGGTGGAGGATATCAATGGTCGTGCCAACCTGGTTAGTTCTTTACTTGCAAACCATTGTGGTGGTTGACGATTAACACGTTCCCAGTTGGTTCTGGTCTGGAACCCCCAAAAAGGCTCGCCCATCCATGATCACGCAAATGCTCACTGCATCATGAAGATTCTCGGGGGAGAATTGAATGAAGTGATATACGATACGCCAGATCCCGCACGAGGCCATGATGCGCCTTTGACGGTCAAGCAAGAGACGACGTACAAGACCGATGAAGTTGCGTATATCTGTGACCAGATCGGACTGCATAGGGTCATGAATCCCCAGAAAGATCAGGTTGCTGTTTCTTTGCACTGTAAGTTGGCCTCCACCCTGCTAAAACCATGGTTGTCTGACGCTTCTGCAGTGTATACGCCGCCCAATGCTGCGGACTTTGGGTACAACATCTATGATCGCGAAACTGGTCGGAGCAGCCATGTTTATCAGGCGTCCTAGGAGGGTGGGAGGAAATTCGGACAAGAACAGACGAGTGCAGGACACTCGCTATGATTCATGACTAGCGTTGATAATCTGTATGCATTTAAAGTGGGACTTGGCAGGCCTAAGGCTCGATATCTCAAGGGATATGGCTATTGGTATCATTGTAGCGCAATTGTCTGGGTTGGTTTGAGGCGAACAAAGCCATGCATAGTACTAATCAGTTTCAATGTCTCTCTAGAAGCAGTGCCGCTCTTTAGGTCGACTGTTGCAGTATGGATAGAAATGGTCTTATTCCACAGAGTGTAGTATTAATGAGCCATTTTAAATTGCATCTTAGATGCGCTCCGCGAAGATAAAGTCTATTATTAAGAATAAAGTAGAATTCAGTTGACGTCGCGTGGAATCGCAGTGGCGACATTCACCGATTATGTATGTAGATAGCTTAGTCATGTGGGTTTATGAGTCTGCATTTGCCCGAGTAGGCATGGACCATGAAGTGCGCATCTCCATGATTGCATCTGCTTCGACGCCAGCTGGATCCTTCTGTCTCGTCAATCCCCGGAACAGTCATTTGTCTTCATAACATGCTACTACTTTTTATGTTCTTTGGATTATATGTCAGGATGAACGAGAGCTTTCAACCAAAGTTCTGAACATGACTCGTCCATCACCGCTGGCCTGTACGGAATGTCGCAAGCAGCATCTCAAATGCGACGCCCAAACCCCCACCTGCTCTCGCTGCTTACAGAACCGACTGAAGTGTAGTTATCTTCCTTCTCGAAGGGGAGGGAGACGGAAAACCCGTGAAGCACTTCGGCAGCATCACGATGCATCTTCCGCAGACCTGCTCTTGTCACCGCACACTACTGATATGAGCGGACGAGATGCCTCTTCGACCGTTTCGGGCCAGCAGAACCAGCGCATCTCCCCAATTGTAGAGGGCCAGGCTCAAGACGCTGCGGATTCTGATGCTCGGCTAGTCCGCCTCTACTACGACAACTTCCACTCGGCGCATCCCATCCTAGTTCCAGCGCCCTTGTATGAAGAGCGCAAGTACCCAGCGTACCTCCATGAAGTTGTCACTCTCATAGGTGGCCATTTCCTATCTACTGGCTCGCTTCCTGATCTGACAAGTGTGCAACTGAGCGGCAGTGGTGAAAGGACGCCATGCAAGGTTCAGGCCCTTTTGCTGTACTCGATACTTTCATGTGCTCGCGGTGAGTGCTCGCAAGCTCACACATCCTTTTCCCAAGCTGTCGACATTGCACTGGAACTTGGGATGTACCGACAAGAGTTCGCATCCACGTCTTCCAATGCTGTTGAAGCTGAAAGTCTTCGCCGGACTTGGTGGGAGCTTTTCATCGTGGACGTCTACATGGCAGCTTTGCAGAAGAGAGTGGTCTTGCGTTGCAGTGGTGTTCCCTACGATGTTGCTTTGCCTTGCGAGGAGTCCGTGTATGCCAATTACACCAATATACCCTCACCCCCCACTCTTGCTGGCTTCAATAAACGCATTTTCGCCGATGAAGAAACAAGCTACTCATCTTTCAGCTACCGCATCGAAGCGGTATGTATTTTGGCACGGGTATTAGTCCTAAATAGCCTGCCAGAAACACATAGGGATCACTTGCAAGCTGTGGAAAATGCGCTTGTCAGTTGGACAAATCATCTTCCACCAAATAAAGTCGATATCGTGGATACGTACGGCAGCGTCGATGAAATACTTTTCCAGGCACACACTACTATTCACTTTGCTGCGATGCTCCTGCATCTTCCAAGAAGCAGTCTTCGGCCAGTCTGTCCAGAAACAGAGTGTCCAATTTGTCCGGTGATCCCATCTCGGCTTTCGCCATCCTTCACTCGACATGTTCATGATATCAAAGCTACCGAGGCATCCAAGCAACTCTCCAACCTTCTCTCAGTCCGCCCCAGTGTGCAGAGATACAGTCCATTTGTCGTGTTCAGTTTAGTACTCTGTGGAATGGTGCAGCTTGCCACAAGCCGAATTCATTCCTCAGAATGTTCGGATCATCACTGTAACCGGATAATCCTAGTTCTAGGCTGCTTGAAGACACTGAAGCAGAAGTGGCCCATCGCAAATCGAGCTCACTACTTCCTCCGCAGCGTGGCAGCAGAGACATTCACGGCCTGGATTGAGTCTCGCTATCCACAAACCAGCAACGCTGTGCCTTTGGCCTCAAGAAATGGTCCCAGCAATCCACCTGAAAATAATGCATGGCTGTCTGTTGTTAGCAGCAATGACACATCCAGGCCTGTGGAGACTGATGTACAAGGCATATTCTCACCGGGACTGCTATCTGCATACATCGACCCAACCTGCAGCGAGCCGCTGCTTCTAGGTCCAATGCCAGATCTCGACTTCACTTGATGGTCTACCAGGGACTGATTACATATGAGTGTGTAATTTTCCCAGGACTTCTGAGTCTTGCTGGAGATGCCCTACTACCATACTTGCTGATTTGCTTTGGTCCACGCTACAACTACTTTGGGGGCCGCTGTGATGTACATTCAGCAGACACTGCAGCACTGGAACCATCCTGCCTGGCACTGCTCGTGGCTGATGATATGGACTTACCCTCGAAAACGCTTTTTAAACCTTCAATTCGTTCTTCTCAGAGTTGACGACGTGAAGGCGTCTCTATTGCTACGATTACCTCGGCTAGTAAGCTGACCGCTATTCATGGCTTTCTCGTAAGCCAATGCACAGCATCACCATCTCATTATGGATCGGGCCGGACATGGCTCGAGATACAATCAGGGTTGAATGTCATTTTTACTTTCTGCCTTCAATATGAACAGCAACCTTCGCGGGATATACCAGAAGCCGAATATCTGTTGTATGAGGAATTCGGAATTCATTGGTCTTGTCTTTGAAAAAGGTCGAGCTTCGTCTGTAGTACATTGTGCTCTATGTTCTTGACGTTTGGGGATGACTGCTAGATGGGTCAGGACAGGCCAGACCATGCGGACAGCCGTGGCTCTTAAGCAGTGAAAGTACATAGTGAACTTAGTAGTTGGAGGATATGGAATCTAAGCAAGCGCATGAAGATACTGAATGTTAAATGGCATGATAATGTTCGTATCAACTTTGTATGTGTAGCCCCTAGTTCTGACTATGTGTGCTTCAACATGTATCATGACGGTAGGGGACTGAGATGTTCACTGTAGGCTTCCAAGTTGTGCAGGTTTATGTCCTGCAAGTCTGCTAGCAAGGTAATCAACCTGGAAGTAGCACTACAGCGAAGGCTCAGCATACCAGGGTCATGGGACCTTCGGGGTCTCCCAAGGCCACTGAGAATGTGCCTTATCCCACCCTAAAAAGGGAGTACTTCGGGGAACCCTGGATATCAATGCCAGCAAGAAGATCCCAAGTCTCATCGGACAATAGCCACGCCAGCTGGGCAACCGAAGCGTATCCACACGCGAGTAACGCCTTAAGACGTGTAATCCAAACATCCACGTCCTCATCTTCTCGGCACTTAACGCTTCTTCGTAGTAGCCGGCACGCCCTCACTCGCACGCAATTCCGCCAACCTCTTCTCCCGCTCAATCAATCGTTCCCTCTCCTGTTTGATCATCTGCTCGACTGTCTTATTCGCCTCCCCTAACCGATCCATTTCACTACTCTCCGTCGTCCGACTATACGGATTGTCCGCGGACGAATTAACCGGAATCTCAGCCGTCCTTACCCCCTTCTGCTGCTGCTGCGCCTGCTTGGTATTCTTGCCACCCTTCCCCTTCTGCGGTTGCCCTGCTGCGCCCGTACCACCCGTCAAGAGCTCATAAAACTGCTCCACAGGCTCATTGAACACCACCTCCTCATAGTTCTGACTGATTACCAGCTCGCGGCGCTCCTTCTTCGCTTCCGCGTCCGGCCCATAGGGGTGCAACTTCAAACTATGCCATAGAGTCTGCGGCTTCTCGGTCGATTCCGGAACAAAATATAGCTTGATTTGAATCTCGAATTCACCCCATCCGGTCTCGGTGACTTCGAAGGGGGCCTGTTCGATCGTCCGCACGTTCTGTGCGTAAGTCTCGTGGAGCTTAAATTGCACTTTCTTTAGCCAGTAGGAGATGTCTTCGCCGTTGACGCCTTTGACGAATACGCGCCACTGGTGCGTGTGGTCGGCTGGGACGTTGGGGGGTTTCTTGGCTGGGTCGAAGGGTTGGGCTTCGCTGCCGAAGACTGGTGGGTTGTTAGGACCGGATTAAGTTTCAAATATGGGGAATAATGGTAAGTAGAGGCATACCGAATGGCCGGAAGACAGAAACGCCCTGTATAGTAATGGATTAATCGGTCGGTCTGGTGTATGATCTTAAAGAGGGATGAACTCACTCTGACACGCTTGGTTCCTGTCGCTGAGGGCATGCTGCGAGACTGATAATGTTACCAATCTGGGATGAGCGAGTTGTATGCAGATACCTAGCAAGAAGCAAATGTATCGACGATTAAGAGCGGAGTGTGTAGATCCAGTGTCGCTCTTGTCGCGATCCAGGCCGCGGAATCTCTGCAGTCGCACGTGACGGATGCGGGTGATACGATAAGGAATCTATCGGAAGCTGAGCTGTGGCGGGCGGTCGTTGCTTCCTCCGGATTCGAGCTCCGGCGATTAAAGATCTACGAAAATGTTTCGTTAACCTCACTGTCTCAGTTTGCATTGAAAATTACATTGACTCGGATCCAATTGAATTTACCCCACAATGGCAGCGAAGAGAGTGGTTGTCGCCGGCGGGAACGGCTTCTTGGGTATGTGGTACAGCCAGTCTATGTACCTACCAGCCGGACGCTTGAGGAATCAATGCTAACAACTTATTTTTCGTGCAGGTTCGAGAATCTGCAAATCCGCTGTGGCTAGAGGATGGGAGGTTACGTCACTTAGGTACGAAAGATAGCAGCCTCAATGTCTTGAGGAATCTGTTCAATTCATAACCATGATATTAGTCGTTCCGGAGAACCGCGATGGGATACTGTCACCGGCTCTCTCAGTCGCCCAAGCTGGGCCAGCTCAGTCGAATGGGCTAAGGCCGATATGCTCAAGCCGGAAACCTACAAGCCGTTCCTGAGTGGTGCGACCGCCGTCGTCCACAGCATGGGAATCCTCCTCGAGGCGGACTACAAAGGGGTGGTGCAAGGACGAGAACCAATCCTTAGCGGATTGCAAAAGGCTTTTGCAGCGTCAAAACCAGGCAGTCAGAATCCGTTGCAAAGGCGTGAAGGAGAGCCTCTTCAAGTGAAAGAGCGCAATGGGCAGTTTACATATGAGCTTATGAACCGCGATTCTGGTTCGTACGATCGCGAATTATGCTAGGATGGGTGGATTGCTAACGTCTTGATTCCCGTTCAATCTAGCGATCGCATTGGCGCAAGAAACTCTTAACGAACATGTCCCGACTTTCCTCTACATCTCTGCTGCTTCAGGCGCCCCAGTTCTCCCCAGTCGATATATCACAACGAAGAGAGAGGCGGAATCTATCATCGCGGCGAAATTACCAGAGCTGCGGAGTGTCTTTGTGCGAGCCCCGTTTATGTACGATGAAAGCAGGAAGTTCACTCTCCCCATTGCTCTTGGTGGCTTTGTCGGTTCTCAGGTCAATGCGCTTTTGGGCAACAGACTGGACTTCCTGGGCTCTATGGTCACGAAACCCTTCCAGGTGGATACTGTGGGTGAGGCTGTAATGGAAGCCCTCGATGACGATTCTGTCCAAGGTGCCTTGGGAGTAGAGAAGATAGAAGCTCTGGCTACGAAAGCGTGGAGAAAGAGCATGCTCTGAGCAAGGAGCACAAGGGAAAATAATTGATTGCCAAACTAACATGTCAGACTGGCTGCTTGGCGCCTTGAATGAGAATATTCCCAAGGTGAGCGAGAAGACCTATCTACCGACCGGAGGAAAGGCCTGCGCAGCTAGGTCAGATTCCCGGCCGAGCGCATATCACCATCTGATTTCGCTCCGAAATAACGGCATCAGGAAAGTGGCTTTGTGATCTGGCCATCTCGAGCTATTCAGGGGATCTCTCTGGAAGCTGCCATAGTGTACACTACATCATGTATCATAGATGAGGCTATAACAATACATGCCTAATTCGTGTTTCAAGGGCAACCAGTCTAAAGACCGTCAAGTAGCTTGAGATCTTGGTCAAGGTGATGGCATGACTGTGATAGGTGCGGCTTGTATGTGCTATAACCGGTATGCCAACTTCGTCAAGCAGGGTAGCGGACCCTGCAAGGGGAATTCGTCGGACGCCTTCTTTGCAGTTGTCCAGTATAGTCCGGAACGAGGTGCAGAGAAACGAAAATTGACAGAGCACACACATAAGGTTGCTGTCATGCAGGTCCTTTGCAAGGCGATTGTACGTTTGAACTGTCCTGCAGGTTCGGATTTCCTTAGCGTAAATCAGATCATCGTACCACGCTCGAAGCTGTCGCGAATCTCCGTAGTGTACTGGAAAACAATTAGCTAGCCCCTTTGACAAATGGCAGAGTGAAAACTCACCTTATTATAGAATCTTGATAATTTCTGGTTGAACTGCTTGTTCTTTTCGTTGATGTAAGTGACGTCGCCGTCATCGTCTCCGCGGCGGTCCCTCCGCTTCTTGAGTCGGACTTCCTCGGCTTTCCGAAGATTATCCACGAGCTTGTCAACAGCAGCTCTGTCGGGCTTGTTCTCCGTAAAGCCAACACTGTCAGCTGTAGAGTAGAAAGAGCCGTTCTTATCGACGGCGATCATTTCACCGTCGTTGGTCTCAACGATCTCGAGATCGCCATTGGCAGCAGCCTTTTCGATCGCTGCCATCTTCTCCCTCTCGTAGGTTTCAAGGTCAGGCTGTACTTCCCGCAGCTGTCTCTTATACACTTTTCGCGCGTCTTGGGTGTAGTCCTGGAATGCGACATTGTCCCGATGACGCTGCTTCTTTTCCGTGCGCTTGTCCCATTTTTCGGACTCATCGACAGTCCAGTCCCATGCACGCTTACGTTCGAAGTCCTCGCCAGCGGCTTCTGTGTCAGCCTTGAGAAGGTTATGCGATGCGAAAGCATGTTTGCGAGAGAGCGAGGAAAGCAGCGACGGATCGGTTGCGAGACGCTGTGTTTCGGCAGCCGTTTCTTTCAGATTCCGCTCGGTAGCGGTTTTCTAAAACTATGTCAGTATGAACACAGCGCACAATGAATCTTCGCTATCATGAACTTACTGCGCGAGCCTGGAGAGCCTTGAACCTTTCTTGTCGTTGGCGGGCTCTCGAAGCAGCATCATCGTCTTTTTGGTCCGTACTGGCCTCATCCACGCTAGCCTCTTCACCTGATTTTCCCTTCGTCTTCTCTTTTGAAGGCGATGTAGGTTCGTTGCGATCATCGCCGGCTTGGTCATTCTCTGCGGACGGCTTGGAGATTTCCTTGGCGCCAGAAGGGCTGGCCGCAGACTGCTCGGCAGGCATGCTGCAAATAGATAGGAGTGATGAGTAAGGCCCCGAAAGAAGACCGTTGAGATAGTCTTGTAAGGATAGTTGGCTAATTTGAAAACCTTGAGTATAGGGGCGAGAGGTGAAGCAAACGAAGGTGGATTCCTGACTGAAGGACTGAAGCCTCGAATTCGGATCCGAGCTGCTGTAACGCCATAGTCCACCGCCATGCTGACCGCCTTTCCCCTAGTGGATTGCCGGGTGTTATTATGCTTTATCCACCCGCTGCCATCTCCACTTTGGCAACCCCGGATTATCGCTGGCATGCCCATTGAAGACCGCCTACATTGCGTCAGTTGTCTATTCCTTGATGCCTAGAAGTAATAAAAATCTATGTCGCTATACTCTCACCTGGGCGTGCTATCACGGCGGCGGGCATTGAGGTCTTTGCATGTTTCACCATCGCTGTGCCGCCATGTCTCCATCGACGTCAACACCAGAGCTTCATATACCGAGCCCACTCCGTCCCACCTGGTCAGATTCGCTCTGACGGGTACCACGAAACCCGCTCACAATGACGTCTCCAATCCGGAGCTTGACAAGCACCTCTCGGACATATTTCTCGGTGATTGGCCCTTAGCGTCTCTACCACCACCTTTTTGGAGCTCTTCTGGTCGACAGCCACGGAGCCCCGATGAAATTGGGTCGTTCAAAGCCCTGAAACATGACGTACGAAACCTGCGTCACTTGCAGGTATTCATTGAAAGAAGTGTCAATGAAGCAGAAGGCGGTCTGCTTCTACAGACACAGTCCTGCGCCCTTTTAGCGCAAGCGCTAAATCGTTGCCAGCGAAAGAATTCCTACGGCGAAATTCTCTCGGCGCTCAATGCTATCATTACAAGACTGGAGAAGCTGGGAGTACCACGTACGGATAATATATACTTTTTGGGGATGTACTATGCTGCACTATCATTGTCCGTGCCGGCGCTTGAAAGGTTTCTGGATGGATACCTTTCCGTTAGCCTGTGGCCTATGGACATCCTAGCAAGCAAATCTCTAGTGAATGCGCTCCTCAATGCCCTTCACTATCTGAGGTTCCGTGAGGTTAGTATTGATACGAACGCGATACTGGAAATAATCGAGGGAGGTAAGCAACGCAGGAAGAAAAACCTACATGACCTTTTGTCCTGGGGCGATTCTGCCGGTCCAACAACGCATCGTGGGCATTACCTTTGCCTACTCGCGAGACTAAAGAGCGAAGACCTTCTGTCTGAAGTATGGAGGCAAACGATGTGGAGACTTTCGCCGAACACTCCACCTGAAATGTACCAATGTATGTATACTTGTATAGTTACTCTGATGGAAAGTGGTGATGTTCTCCGGGCTACGGATTACTTGCAAGAAGTGTCGGAACGCTCCCAAGGAATTCTGCCTGGTATATCGGAGTTCAAAGACGTCAACACACTGCTTGAGTCAGAAGTTCTTGGTCCCTTGTTGCCTCGGATGGCAGGCGAGAAAGAGTACTTGAAGCTTCTTGAGGCTCAACTAATACAGATCGAGAACAAGATGGGTCTCAGTTGGGATTCCGAAGGCCTCTATCACACAAATATCAGTGATCCGCACTCAATAATCTCTGAGACACCCCTCTTCAATATCGACGGTGACAGCACTGGCTATGAGAGCACTGCGCGCTTAATTGCCGAAATCAAAGCCCTCGGATGCTCCAGGTCAGTGACAGATCTCGGGAAGATTGCAGAAATGCTTGACGAACACGAGGGAGACGTGATCCCTGTATCTTTGCCCTCAACTAAAGGCCAGGATGTGGAGTACGCTTGGTTCCCCCGGTATTCTTCATTTCGGCGTTCGGGGGCCTCTTCATCTGCTGAAAGAGAGGGTACCGAGCCTTGGACACCTTCAACATTGGGTTTAGTTCGTGTCAGCTGCAATAGCAGTGGATCCCCTCTCGAACGCTCCATTCATGTGATGCAGCTCGGTCGTTTAGCAAGGAGAGCCAGGTGCCCACATGATCAGGATCCAACTTATGATACTCTTTGGGAAGAGACCGAGCATATGGTTACCTGGGATCGTGTCTATGGCCAATTCATCGCTGTATACGTTGGACCAAGCGACGGGCATATCGAGACTCGCATAGAGTCACGAGCTGCACGAGCGCGATCTGGTATTGAAGCGATCACCGCATTCTCTCTCCCTGGTGATACGGAACCAGTTTCACAGGGTGATCTGATATCCTTTATTGGAAATGCGTCTATGCATTATTACATCGAGGAAGACCCAAGCCCGGACCTGATATACTAATTGCTTCTTTTTCTGGTCACTGGTGTACATAGACATCGAGCTCTTAGTGCTTGCTCAGCATGAATAGCCTCGTTTCTGATACGATGCATTTTCAGCAATTACCATCAAAAGCTTACTCTAAAAGATGCGCTTATCAGCTCAGCCGGATATTGCATCTCACCAAGTGTGTCCGCTTTAAAGCCCAATTTCTCCCATGCTCGGAAGCAAATGCTACTTTTTGTCATATGTGAAGTAGTATTATAATTGCACGCTTATAGCATATATTGCATAAGTCCCATATATGCAGCTTGGCAGACACGTTCGGTATAGCCACGGCGATTCGTGATGCACTTTCTTGCTAACTTAGCAGAAGGCTATGCCTAACCAGCAAAAGATCTGGGGAAGCCAGCATCGTCCTCAGCCGTCCACCTCGCATGGCAACAATCTCCCAACATCCGTGGCAGAAACTATGCAGTGCAACTAGAATCTGCTAATGTTACATACTGTTTTAACGGAGATCCCGAAAGTGATGCAAATTCACCAGCAGAGAACCATCCTATCGGCCAAGTCCGAGAGCACGGCTTCATGTCAGGTTAGCCACGTCGATATCTTTAAAATGGAGAGACATGGTCCCATGGTCTGATCTTTTGCTCTACCACCCGCTGAATGCCAGATAACATTATCTGGCAGGTGAGCTGAAGCCCCTTGCAACTTCCTGTCTCATATTACGTCAGTGTTCGGTGTCATCAGAAAGAATGTTAGGTGAGCAAACCCTCAAGACACTAAGCAGGTTTGTAGAATACCAATTGCTCATTTGCTTCTAGCACAACGTGATTTTATTTTTTACAGTTTGAGTAACCTGCAGCACATTCTGATAACTGATCTCAAAGTCTCACTAAAAGCCTTGGCTACCTTCTCTAATCCCCTATCAATGCAATGAGGATTCTAGGTGTCTCTGACTGTCACTTCTACATACCACACAACATGCTGTAAGGATGCAAGTACATCGGTAGCGGTTCACTCACATTTTCAGAGTTAAGCCTGGACCTCATGCTGAGACAATCAATGATATGAAGACATCTTCCATGTATGTACGAATGTTCAAGTTGGTTCACCACGTACGTTCAACGAAAGCGCTCCCTAGACAAAGATTATCCCCTCTGTTTGGAGTAGTTTCAGGTGTGCAAGTCCCTGTGGCCCGCGCTAAGTGCACTCGCAGGGTACCGAAAGACAGAACGGAGAGACAGCCAGGATATCCTAGCTTCAGGTGCAAGGTCGGTGCGGACGACTGAAAGCCAAGGCAAGCTTGTCAGCTTTGAGAGTCGGGGTATCCTGGCTCCCTTGCTCGCAGCAGCCCTTTGTCAACGCAGATTAATGGACTAAATAGGAAGGTCGATAATCCATCGACCCGTAAGATTTCGAAGATCTTCTTCTCTTGCAGGGTTGCGCCATTAGTTCGCGATCGAGGCTTCCACGTCGCCCTAGCAGGGGAGCTGATGCGTCCGGGATTCGGTGTGCTCCTTTGCTTTTTCTAATGGAAACGGTCCCCAAACAGATCGCATAGATCCATTTTCACCATCTTTCTGATTTTATGCTGTGGTCCAGAAGGAAGGCATTATTGCATGAGCAGTTCAAGGAGTGTTCAAGACCCAAAGTGTCGCTGGCATGTAGAGCCCAAAGACCGTCTTGACGCGAGGCGGGCGGCCCGTACTTCGGCCAGAACCTTGAGCACTCAAATCATCTGGTGAGGACCGGAGGGCAAATACTCGTTGGTTAGGTAGTATGTCCATAGGTAAGGTTTGTCTAAGATTTAGTGGCCGCAATCCCACACTCTATTAGTATCAACTTGCCTTGTGTTTCCTCTTCATGTATCATGATTTGTCATATCCGTAGATACCATTCCATGTGAAGAGGCTTTAGTGGGATTTTCGGGTGGCTAATTAGGATGCGTGGGTTGTTGAAGGAAGATTGAGCTGGCTGGAGGAGAATATTGCGGTTGGGTTGCCGGGAGCAGCTGCTATACGGCGGCGGAAGGCGAACGTTGGGCCAAGTCACTTGATCCCCCCTGCCTTTTCGTAATGCGGCAATCGACAGGTCGACGAGATCGCAGCGACTCCTCCGCTCTCTTCCAAACTGGAGATCTCCGATTCCCACGGACTTTTCCTTTGGCCCAATCGGAGATACGCCTTCTTTCCCCGTAAGTCACTCATTTCCAGCCTTCCCTTGAAGTGAACCGCATGCTTGCAGACTGCTGGTCGAATAATACCACTGGTTCCTGACAAATCTTTTCCTTCGGTTGCCTCTGGCGATAGTTTACTCAAGGAGTATCTCCGTGACTCGCTTCCTACACGGGTTCTCCGTCCTAGTTGCCTTCTACAGGCAAATGGAGTGTGGCTGGCAACGCGCAGCGTTAATTGGCATCCGGCCTCAGCGTCGGGGCCTTGTCCCCATTTGTTACACCTAAGAGAATATCCCCATCGGCGATGAAAAAGAAAGTGGAGGAAATTCTCCCCGGAATAAAACTCCTGGGAATAAGCAAGAAGCTCACGATTATGCACTAAACTATGGACGGTCATGACGCACGAACAGGATCATCGCCGTAGCACCCAATCTACACACTAGCCACTGCACTACGATTGCAGCTTCCGGGATTCCAAAAGGCCAGAACCATGACCGTCTGGGTAGGAACACAGAAGTGTGGACACTGGAAACCCTTAGTGTGCATGAGGCACACCCGGATTCCGGGAAATAGAACGCTGCATAGGCGTGTCGGTACTCGGTAATAGTTTCATCTGTCTGACGGTGGTTGTTGAGTCATCAGCATCCAGCCAATTCTGGCCATCGATCAAGCCATCCAACAGTCAAGGATGTGACACATCATTCATGGTTGTCGGCAAGGCAACCACACATACAGTAGCCCGTCCACCCAAGAGGGAATGAATGGTGAACAGTTGTTACAGGGCTAATGCACGACAAGTACTTCTGTCGCCGACTAATATTCCTTCCCCGCAGCACCAGGGGGGTTTACGATAACACAAATCAGCTGAGATGAAACAGCCAGTGTGATATGTGGCGGTGACCACCGATCGATCTTCTTTGCAAGGATAGGCATCATACCTAGTATCTTAGCCACAATGTGCAAATTGGTGTGTCCCAGGACCTCACTACAGGAATTATGGAGTACACTCAACGGCTTCCTCGAACTTCGCTGAGATTTGAATTGGAGGTGCTTTTTGCGATTCCCACTAAAAGTAAGCCAGCTCAACTCCCTTCTGCTTTCCTCTTTTGTAGTTCCATTATTGCAATCTTATCTGACCAATTAGTCCGCTTGTTTTATCATTGTGGTTCTGTCTTTCTCTGGACTAGTAATGATCAACGAAATTGATGGTTGTTGCGGAGAAAAGCTCACTATAAAATAGTCTTAGATTCGAAACGGCCCGTGCAAAAGACCCCGGTATCCACGACCAGCAATGACAAATCGGCAATAGTTAATCGCGAGCCTGTGAGAACGGGGGCTGGACGCGCCCACCACCATACTCCATATTCGTCCTTGTTTGTTCTGTTAAAGGTGCTCCTGGCTTAGGCATGCAAGAAGCTCAGTATGCAGGGCCCTGGTTTCGTGCTAAAGACGTGGGCACCAAAGTAACCTGAACATTGTCGGATGGAATTCGCAGTCCCGACACTAAGCAGCTGAACAGCCGTATTCGTCTAGCGTACGGAAAGATCCCCGACGGCCGTGTCCGGCTTTTGCGGTCAATGGCCCTTGTCCCATGCTCAATAATTCGTCCCGGGGGTTCATGGGCGATATCTATCAACACACCCTTCCAGGAATAGTGCTCTGTATATGGTCGATAGTTGAAAAACAACGGTGAACGTCCAGATCTGGACTCCACTATACAGTCTTCTAGCCGTTTCTACGAATCTTGCAGCACCATCTTTTTCCTACTTCCTTTCCGAGCTGCAGGATAGGCCAGCACCGGAACGCCGAGGCTCGCAAATCATCAGTATAGACCATTTATTCCTTGCACCGATCAGCTGCTGGAGGCCCATCTAGCTGCATTGCGTGGACGGGCTGCAGACTATCTAACGACGATAGCGACCATGGATAGCGATCCCAGAAATATGAACTGCACGGCTTACGGCGTACATGGAATGATATTCTTGCCAATCAAATGGTCGATTATGTTCGATCTGCGCTTTTATTCCCTGTTCTTTCCTGTCTTGTCGCCGCTCACTCGTTGGAACCTGGCTCACGGAGTCGAACATCTCACCCGATGGTTCCTGCTGGGCTTCCAGATCATCGCGCTTTAAAAAAATTTAATCCTTCGGCAGCAGATCGCCCTAGTTCCCCGGGAAGTGGGTAATAATTGGGCGCCTTGGTAAACACAGTTCACGCCTTCGCCTAGGCACTTAGCAAGCGATTCGTTGCATATACGGGATCCCATTCCGTTATTGGCCATCGCAAGGAAGATAGTCCCTCATTAAGATACTGCTTACCACTTCGACGAATACGAGTTGCCCACGGCATACCAGGGTCAGTCTTTCATTGCTTTGACCAATGGTTTTCCGCACGGCCGTCATACTGCGTCGTCTGCAGAACTAAAAGGGACCCATAGCAAAAGTGGCTCGTCTACTGGAACCTTACTAGTAATTGCGATGGTCGCGCAAAGTTCCGGACAGTGTACAGACCAACACACTGGGCACTAGGAAAACCTACGCTTCTTTTGTCAAATACGGGAAAAATGGGACCTCGGAAAAACTCATGATAGAATAAAGATTTCTAAGATTCGGGGATATATACGGCTGGATCCTGTCAGGGACGCAGTGTTGCTGCATGTCTGAATACTTCACAATGCCACACACATACGCAGTGGGCACGCACAGGCTCTCACAAAAGCATCGACCAGCCCGTTTCCCCAGATCCATTTCTTCTCTTGCACGGCCACAGGCAACTATAGAGTGCCAATAAACACTTGATATTTTACTGCTTGGCTTAGGGTTAGTACCACGCTCCTGTCCATTCTTCCTCCTTCCGGGCTGGTCATCAGACACGCTTACTTCGCGTTTCTACAAGGTCACTACTCCAGTTGCTTGCCTTGCCGCTACTTGCGCCGGTGTGAGTTGTGCTACGATCTGGTTGGGCAGAGGTGGGCAGTCCCCTTTTCTTTTTCCTCCTTCATCTTGACTACCTTTTTCCGCGCTTCGGGACCCTCCTCAGACAATTGCTTTGTGGTCTGCCTCTGAAAATCGTCAAAGAGAGCTAACGTATGCATATCGCCTCAGCCAGCTACTTCGGTAGGTTGGAACAACCGCCCACGTCAGGTCATGTTATTTGCACCTTTGGCCTTAAAGGAAGCATCTCAAAACCTACCGCCCACAGTTAACCTGTGGACTTTTGAAAATCTTTGGCGCTGGGTATACCGTTACGTAGTACATGGCCAAATTGTCCCAGCGGGCTTCTGACCCCTGTTAATTGTTCCTCCCATATCGGGCCTCATTCCACCTTTCCTTCTAAGTTGACGAAACCTTGCTTGACCGATTTCGTGTTCCCTACCGTGGATGCCTAGCCCGCGAACACAACGGGAGATCAGCTTCTGGCACTTTTCAGTGAGAGCAGGCCCTAGAAGAAAGAAAAAATTATACGGACTTCCAAACGTCCGCAGAATTTTCATAGATGTCTCGAACCCCGCTACCGCATTGGATGTATCCCGCATCCAGTGGCCAACCGTCGGATGCAAGATCCTACGCCGCTGGTGACGATCACCAGATGTTGACGATGCCAAATCGATTCCACGCTCTAGAAGATCCCCCACGCTTCCTTTATCCTGACAATCAGGGCTACCCTCCGGGTTATATACATCCCGCATCAAACTCCAGAGCTTCTTATCACGCCAGAACTTGGGACAGTCTCGCAGACCCCAAATTTAATCCTACGCCAATACCGGCTGCCAATCATAGTGCCTTTCCTCCATATGGGGCCCAAAGGTCAAATACCATGAGAGGCGTGGAGTATGCCTCCGCCTCAACCTCTGTCTCTAGCCCTTATCAGGATTCCTCCAGTTACAGCCGCGGTTCTATTGGTTCTATTTCCGGGACACGGACAAATGACGTGGAGTCTCAGTATAAACCCCCCTTCTATCTCCATACAAGCAGCCCTAGTCTTATCTGCCTGGAGTTATGATACCATGATCGTGGTCAAATGTGCATACTCCCGCTGTCTCGCCTCGAGCTGTGGTGCTTCGTAACTCCCTTGATAACCATTATGCTAATGTGATTCGTACAGGTACAGTAGCAGCTCAGCAACCTTTCCAAGCCCCGTTCACTCTGAAGAGAGCTCAGCAATGTATCCTGCGCTTGCACCACCCATAAAACCCCAGGTACAACAGCATCAGCGACACACCACGTCCAGCATGCCTTCTGGGTTCGAAAGATTGCTTCACCACTCACCAACTCCGTCACCCCCGCCACGAAGAACCTCCACAACATCACGCTATCACCTCTTCATCCGACAACAGCCCATCGCAGCCCGGGCTTGTGGTGCCGGTGACCGAGACCGCCGCCCTGTAGACCCACCTCCAATCCTCCAGTTGCTGTTAACGGACTTTGACCCCAGCACATCAGATGATATCAATGTCCTTCAAGATCCGCGCTTTACCGTTGGTTGCTTCTTGGTTCCCGAAACGCGGGGTTCGATCTCGTCCGATCTGGATGGTGATAGTGCACTTCGAGAGGACCGTCTCGGGACTGCTCCTGGTCAATCTACACCATTGCTTTCGGGAAAAGCATTTGTCCCACCTTTCTTTGTCGATGAAGATCCAGACCCAGCAACTGCTCCTAATCATCCATCAACGTATGATTTTCACCTACCGGAAAAAAGGATGCAGCTCGCCCCGTCATCATCCAACGGAGCCAAACAGCCCGCAGCATTTTTCATATTCTCCGATCTCTCCGTGCGTACAGCTGGACTGTATCGCTTGCAATTCCGGCTCATGAACTGGGGCCTCGTTGAGGACACAGGACAATCGATGCCCGTCCTTGCCGAAGTATGGTCTGATCCTTTTCGCGTCTTCCCTGCCAAAGACTTTCCCGGGATGCGAGACTCCTCACGTCTCACGGAAGGTCTCAAGGAACTAGGTTTTGTCGAACTGAAAACCAGGGGAAAAGGAAAAGGGAAGGGCCGACGGAGGTAACTTAGAAGCGAGACGGGATATGATACGGATGAATGAGTGAACGCAACGCTGGTCGGGAATCTTACGAATTGGTTTGATCTGCTTCTCGTCTTTCTTTTCTTTTCTTTCCCTCCCCGCTCCGGCGTTCTCTACCTCTTCCTCCCTCTCTATTGCATATCGTGGTCATTTTTCTCTTCTATGACATCGTCGCATGATCCTGTCTGACGGAAATATGAATTTGGAGGAATATATATGATGCTATTACAAGGTTATATTGATATGATATGGAGTTTGGATCGGGCACTCGAGTATAAGAGATGCAGGTGCCTACGCCGATGTTGATATTGATTATAGGAATCGACAGGAGACTATATATACCACCAGTCATAAGAGTTACATTAGTCTATACATGGTACTAGTTCATAAAGACGCCTACTTATTACATAGAGACCCCTCCCTCACTTAGTGAGTTGTAGCTGGATACTGATTGCTACGTCAGTAGTATGGAAGCGTCAGACGTTTCAGATGGCCAGTTATGTTGGTTGGTAGTAAGAAATTTATATTCCATTCATATTACGGCAATGCCGAGTAGTTATTATAGTACCATATAATAGTCCTGATCCTCTCCAACTATCTTACTTATAGACCATCGTGATTGTATCTGTCGGGTGGTAAAGATGCGTGGTAATAGTATTTACCGATTATATTACAGATACTAGTAAGTGATTATATATCATGATGAACTTTATAGTACTTACGACTATATAGATCGAGTTGCTAAAATTACCAGAGCCCAGCTCGCCATCGTAGGAATGGTGATACCAACAATGAGGCTTACTTGCATTCAATACCGCTAGAATAGGAGACGAAATGGCAGAATATAAAGTGCAAGAACTGGAATGAGACAATTAAGGGTGAAAGTGGCCGGGAATGACAGTTCGTTGGGCGGAGTCAAAGTCGGGCGGCGCCGTGGCTCCGCAGGGAAATTCTCGTGGTACCGTTCCTGGCCCGTCGGTTAGTCTCACTGCAATTAGTAATGACGAATGCAATAATGAAAGCTTTCCTATTAGTCTCGGGTTGTATGAGGAGGAGACTATAACTACGAAACATGAGAGAGGTGGAGATTTCACAGCTCTTCGAAAGCCGACCGTCCTGATAAATCTACCAGTGCCTATGACGTGCCCGTGCCCGGTTTACAGGCCGGGGGCCATAAAAGCAAACAGATCCACGTCCATATCCAGCTTGTTTCAACATTGTCCATTCAATGCGATAATAATGTACACTCGCCGCCTTTTTCCCGCTTTCCGGTTTATATCAGAACAGTCTTAAGAGATATATGACGGAGAAAAGAAAAGAGATAGGATAAAAACACACACACACACACACACACACACAATACATGACGGAATAAGAAAAAGGGTGGTGCGAGACAAAACTCCAGCATGATGAGATGCAGTCCAATCACAACGTCCAGACCATCCAGGTAGCCTCTCCCTCTTCCCTTTCCCCCTTCGCTCATCCGCTTAGAACGAAGGAGGTGGGAAGATGAAAGCTTAGGGTGACCCGGTAGCATTAAAAAAAGTCCCCGAAAGCAGAGTAGTATAGAAGTCCCAGTTTAGTCCATAGTGGCCTTGGCGCCCACGGCCTTGAGGGTCTCCACGATCTTCTCGGCCTCCTCCTTGGGCACAGACTCCTTCAGGACCTTGGGAACGGACTCGACGAACTTCTTGCTGTCGACCAGGGACAGGCCGAGGAGGGTCTTGATCTCCTTGATGACCTTGGCCTTGGAGGAGGCGTCAACGGACTCGAGCTTCAGGTTGAAAAGGGTCTTCTCCTGCTGGGCGGGAGCAGCCTCCTCTTCCTCAGCAGCGGCGGGAGCGGCGGGAGCAGCGCCCACGGCGAAACCGCCAACGGGCAGGTCGGGGATGTTCAGGCGGGTCTAAGATGACAATGTGCAAGTCAGTATCGAGCTCAATGTGATTCGACAAGCATCAATCCACCACAATGGATGGAATACAGCCCAAAACGGGCACGGTGCGGAGTTTGCGACACAGATCCGGGGATGCAAAACAACGCACCTTCAGGGTGGACACAAGGTCGGCGGTCTCAAGCAGGGTCAATTGGCTGATCTGGTCGACAATCTGGGTGATCTTGGGGTTGGCAGGAGCAGCAGCAGCCTCCGCCTCAGTGGATTGCCATCTCCGGCTGAGTGTGCGCTGGGACAGGTATGTCGTGGGAGCAAGGCGCAGAGAAGCGGTAGGGCGGACGATCTGTCTGCAGCAGCGAGCTGCGGCCTGGGCGGAAACGGACATGATGGACGGAAGGTGAGGACGAACGGAACGGGAACAGGGAGAGACGTAGGACCGTGGGGGAGGGTGACCAAGGGATTGAAGCTGCTCGAGATATCGAATTACTCGAAGAAGGCCTTTGCGGGAAAAGAAAGTCGAGCGTCGGCCCGGAAAATCCAGTCGCATCACGTGATGTGACTGACCGCCCGCCTATCGGTGCTGCTGCTTATACAAAGTAGATTATCTCCAATATGGAAAGGCCTCGAATAAATACAACATTCTACTCTAAATCTAAAGTTGAGACTGGCCTCACTGTAAACAGTTACCTTGACTTGGTCCAAAGTATCCACATGAACAGAATTACTACCACTACTACCACACAAAGCATTATACACTCCCGGGCATGCCGGGTTGACGTTCATGATTATCGTGTCTCTATCACATTTTGAGTTTTAGACCACATTGAAAATACCGCTCTTCGACGCCTCATATTTAGTCCTCGTCCCAGTTGGGGTTGGGACCCGGGGGCTTGGGTCCACCCGCCTGTCGAGCAACGATAATCTGGTCGACGCTGAGGACTGTCCGGGCGGACTCACTCGCGAGTCTAATGGCCCAGCTCTTAGATGCAAGCAAGTCCAGAATACCTTCATCCACAGTGTCAAGAGTGCCGGTCGAAGAAGGTCCCACCTCCAGATCGACACCAGTAGTCCAGTAAGGCTCCTCTTCGGAGCTACCTTCTTCCTCCGACTCCTCTGACGATTCGCCATTGGCGCTCGTGTGATGATGGGCAGTGTAGAGACGAGAGAGAACCTCAGTAGCGTCCAAGCCAGCGGACTCCGCCAGAGTACGAGGGATCACCTCGAAAGCTTCGGCGTACTTGCGGATAGCGTGCTGGGGCAATCCGGGAGTGCGATCGGCGAACGCAGAGATCTTCTCAACAAGCTGAATCTCGGTAGCACCGGCGCCAGGAACCAGACGGGGGTCCTTAGTGATAGCTTTGACGGCGTTGACACCGTCGTCAATGGCACGCTCGACGTCATCCAGGTGGTTCTGGGTGGCACCGCGCAGGACGATAGTAGATGTGCGAGTAACAGCATTGGAATCTTCTTGACGGAAAACAGTGACACGGTCTCCGCCAATCTCAGTGGTCTCGACGATGTCGATAGAGCCCATCTCATCGGGCATAGGAGCACCCAGACGAGCGAGAGGAGTGGCACCCACCACGCGGCAGAGACGGCGCAGCTCGAACTTGGACAAGATCTTGACAACAAGGATGTTGAAACGGTTCAGGTAGTGCATGGCGAGATCACCGATCGTGGAACCGCAAACAAGGACACGAAGGCCGGAATCGTAAAGCTCCTTGATGGCCGCTTCCAAACGCTCCTCCTCGCCCTTCGAGAAGTCCAACATCTCCTGCGCGTTCTTCAGGAGCACAGTACCCTTGGTCTCGGTCTGAGAGATATCAATGGGGCAGCTGAAGACACCGACCTTGGCCTTCTGCGCCTTCTTGACCACACCATCAGGCTCCCGACCAAGAACCATACCCTTCACGACGCGGGACTGTTCCAAGCTACCACCCATGATCTTCACAACGCGGACGTTATCGACGTTAAAGTTGACGGGGTTCTTGGGCAGAACGGCGAGGACGGCCTCGGCAACCAAGGAGGCCAAGATGTCTTCGGTTCCAGATTGCTTGCTGGCGACAACGGTACGGAGAGCCTTGCTCAGTTCGGTTTGAGAGCGAAGGTCCTGCAGGCGATCAACTTCGAGGCCTACAGATGAATCCGTACGTTAGTAAGTGGGAGAGAAGAGATCAGGATAGCCAATGGACCGGTAGCCCCTGAATGTGGTATAGAACGTATAGTCTGAGAACAACGCACCTTCCAGCACCTGAAGAGCGAAGTTCTGTGCCTTCTCATAACCCTGCGTGATATCACTTGTCTTCAAGCCCATCCGCAACAATTCCTCAGCCTTCTTCAGCAACTCTCCCGCCAGGATAATGACCATGTTGGTACCGTCACCCATCTCCGCATCCTGCTGTTGACTGGCCATCACGAGCAACTTGGCAGCGGGGTGCACAACGTCCAACTCGCGCAAAATCGTAGCGGCATCGGAGGTGAGGATCATCTTTTGCAGGTGGTTAATCACGATCTTGTTGCGACCGTACGGGCCAAGCGACGTGAGGACGGTCTGGGCGATAGCCTGGCAGGCTTCAATGTTGCGGATGACCGCACCGTCTTCGGCATCATGACTATGAAGGGAATCATATTAGTCAATGAATGGAACAATCTCAGCATTGCCAGGGATTGCCGGTGCCTGATATTAAACTCCCGCCATGGTCGAGGGACCTGAGGGGCGGGACATTCCACCACGGGGGGTTCGCTCACCTCTGATACCCAGGCTTGAAGAGACCAGCCTGGGAAGGGCCAGGCATAGACAACGACATGATGACAAAATCCTTCCACTGGCGTTCCGGGAAGAATTAATGAAAGTAAAGATGGGGGACACTGCCACGACGCTGTCCTGAAGCTGTTCTGGGAATTTTCGACGGAGCTTCGAGACGGTCTGGCGGCGGTTGTTTGTTTGGTTTGCACCCGGAGGGGCTCTCTCTTTTGCCTGTTTTAGTAAACCATCACAACAACATCACTACCGTACTACCGACGCTTAGAAGATAGTATTCTTCTACCTCATATCGTGATGGTGCGCTGTCCCTGCCTTCTTTGGTATACAAGATGAGATGATTCCACTAGGTCACCCCGGTCTCCTACACAGAGTCACATCTCTTGTCCCCTCGCAATCAAGCTTGTCAGGCTGTTGCTGGATGCAGGATGTCTCGCACTGACTGAGCTCTTACAACCAGACCAGAAAGGGGAGAGTAGAGATGCAATAAGAGTGTCAATGAATTCCGCGGGGACAGTCACAGACATTATGCGCGGTGCATACTTCCCAACCTCTTGGCCTCGTGCCCCATTTAATTGAGCACGGAACTATTATTTAGGTGCTCTTCTGGATCAGAACTATTTCAGTGACATGCAAGTTATCGCACTTCTTTAATAGTGACTGCCCTTGGGTTCAAAGCACCATCATTAGAGGCCATACACAGAAAGGAATACAATAGCTCCTATTAGCCAACCTTGTCTCCTACCCTCTGGCCTTTCAGCGCACTTCAGGAGCATCCTGTTAAGGATTGATGCTCGCTCCTCTTCGTTTCAAGAGAGAGAATGTCCCAAATGAAAGCAAGAGCATAATCGTAAAATTGAATTACCTTTGCGCCCTATGCTCTTCTCGTTTTCAGATTCGGCCGCTTCATACCAGTGCCCATACTGCTCTACACCCCGAATGACAGGATAGACATGGCCGAGCTAAACTCCGTGGACATCATTGCAAATCAGAATCCTACCAACGTATTTGATGAAGTTCATCAGCATGAATGTAAACATGTACCGTCAATGAGCCACCGTAATTTGTCCAGCATTCCATCTACTCCGGACATATAAAACAGTGCTCTTATACTCACCCTACCTTAACTCATTCCATCCAGCCTTGCGATATCAACTACTACCATCACTTCCTCAGAAATTCTACAAACATATTCCCACAATGCACTCCGCCAGTTTGTTCTCACTTCTAATAACCCTATGCACCCTCCTCCTCTACTCTTCCCCAGCCCAAGCAAGCCCCCAAGCCACCACCATCCAATCCGACCACAACAACCCCCTCAACTGGATCCAGAAAACTCACGACCGCCTCGGCAACTTCGACGGTAGCATCTCCAATGGCTTTCCTCTACTGCAAACAGCATATGAGATGTACCAGCTCTCCAAGAACTTGGAAATGCATACGTAGAACACCCCAGCATTCGACGACGAGGACAGCGCTACCCTCTACAATGGAACAGTCGAGTTCCAAACAGCTGCTTCGGATCTTGTTAATCGCTTTTCTACCGAGGTATATAGTCCATATTATATTTGAATACAGTATATACTCTATAGGCTTGACTTGGATTGTGACTTACGTTGTGGGTATTGTCTAGGTTCCTAATTTCCGCAACATGAATGCATTGCCCGTGGCTCGCATGGTCCTTCAATACGTTCATGACAAGAATGCGGCTACTGTGAATGATTTGGCATCTAAGGTAACAGAGCCTCATAAAGAGGCTTTCAGGAACGCAACGGGAGATATTGAGGATATTATGCCGCGGCTTTCCGGACTATGGATGCGGCGAAGGCGGAGAATTCGGGAAATTGATGGTAGCTTGAGGGAGAGATGTGAGAGGTATTATAGAAACTATCTGTATCTAGTGGTTGGTTGAGAGTAAGGGCCATTACAGGAGTATAATTTAACTGTGGACGGAAAGAATGCTAGTTCCAAAGAGTGACAATGACTCGAACCTATCGTGGTGTTAAAAGACATACTGTATACAACCTGGTTACTCTGCTGAGTCTATACGTGAATACTCTGGAACGTGGTAACATTCCGAAGAAAAATTTAGAACTGCAAAACACAAAGCATCTAATGCTTCAGATGATTTCTTTTGCTACGACCTAGGGTAAGTTCTCCTTAGAATAGTCAATTCCTATTAGCCTAAAAATAGTGCGAATGATATGATAAAAACGACGCCATGCATTCAGAGGTAACGAATCGAAGAGACATCAGGTGCATTGCACACGCAGCAAACCTCAATGCCGTATGCCTGGCGGGCCCGATATCTCATCTAACTGGCTTTCTTGGTGACAATAGTTCATTTTCTCCTCGAGGTTGGGCGGGTCGATGAGGTAGTGCCACTCTGTTCGCGGAAAACCCGTTGTTAGACGTCACATGCGACACGAAGTTGTATCCTGGGTGGTCGGGAAGCATTGTCCACACTTCTAGGGGGACAGTTATCAGAAGGACTGTGGAGTGGCTTTGGAACGTGGCTTCAATCTTAATGTCCACACTGAGCACGTCTTCTGGTATGTTGCTAGATAACCAGGCCTCCCAGGCCTTGACATCGCGTTCACTGTGGTCATCTTTCACTTCTATAGATAGAAGGACACGTTCAGAAAAGCGAGGGTGGCGGCTTGGGCGAAAATCACGGATACTCAATGGCTTAAGCGTAATGCTAGGGTGATTAGACTTCGGTATGTGAACAGGACATGCTCCCACCTGATTCTGGGATGCGTTTCTGAAAAGACGGGCAAAAAGTGAAGCCACCGTGATGGGTGCCCCATTGTTGTCCACCAAGGCATCTATGAGAACCCGAGTTAAACAAAAGTTGAGGTTTGCCGAACTGGCCTGCTCCCAGCCGCAGGCCGCGATGGCTTCAGGGCCATCCCATAACCCAATCGACCCGGCCGAGCAGCAATCGAAAATATAGAGGCAATCGCCCTCAAGGGTCTCACACGAGTAGAGAACAGACTTTATGTTGAGGCGGGGCCCAGCAATGGTTCCATCAGCGTTGGACTCGCCGCTATACAATCACCGTTAGAATCTTTATGTATTGTTGGTGGGGAAGCTAGACTTACGCAATCGTCCACGAAAGGTCTTCTGGGCCCATACCGGCGGCATGGCCTGAGTAGACGTAGATCCTTAACGTATTCTTGTTGGCCCGTTCGAGAGACCAGTTGACGAGCTTGCTGTTCAGTAGAGCGGCCGAATTTTGGGTCGGGATTTCATAAGATTCGCAATGGTACGCATATACTCGAGTCAGAAATTCCAGAAGCTCGGTCTCCAAACTTGCGACACCCATCGTGTCGTTTGACCAATGGAATGCAATCACTTCAACTGCTTCATAATTACCACCGAAAGCAATTGAGTGGTTTACTGCGGCCTGAAGGTTGGTCGCCAAATCTCGCAGAGTGTGCAAGCTCTGTTCCCGACGCTGTTGCCTGGTTAGGCGCGGCCGCAGAGCGCTCGACTGGCTCATGACGAGGCGCTTTCCCTCGATAGAAACAACAAACTTGAGAGAGGGACGAATCGAAGTACCGAGTCGAAGACAAAGGACGGGGGATACAGCCGGTCAACAACGAGGGATCAGATAGTACGATATTCCGGTTCACAAACTGCACGAGATATCTTGAGAGAGACTGTCAGTCGAAAGGCCCCAGACTGATAGATTGACGAGTGTGAAGGATGGAAGAGACAGGAGAAGGGAAAAGAGAAGCTTGATGTCAAGAGACAATACTGAGGTAACACATCTCACATCCAAAACTTTCAGGTGCTATATAGTACGTCACAATTCACTAAGAATCAAGCAGACCAGTAGCTAGATCTAGCCACAATATTGACAAACAAATTGGAAGTCGGGATTGGAACTTCATTGGTTTGTGTGTGTTAATCTTTCTATTCACTGTTTTAGCTTGTTTCCGCAATGCCAGAGTCTATACTATTATCTATTTCTGACTTTTCAGCTAGATCAGCAATTCCGTCGTTTATCTATATATATTCTGAATATAGACAATACAGATAAGATACAAATGATATGTCAATACGTGAATAAATAGAGAAGATTATGGTTCTCTCTATAGGTACAGCCAGAAGGCTCCTCAAGTTCTTGTACATAAGTTGTAGAAATCTATAAGAAAAATTGGGTAGAGCGAAAAAGTCTTAAAAAATTTCCCTACACGGCTTAGTATAGAGACAGCAAGAGGGAGGACTATGAATCAGAAGTATGCTCTGTGGACTTGTTATAAGTTTCTCTTATAATACTGCGCATGTATAGAGAAACTTCCGATATGGTAACCTCCGAGGTTGGTGGCCGCGGGATTCGAACCTGTACTATACTTTGTTATACTGGATGTGGGTACTCCGTAGAAAAGCACTACCAAACTTGGTTGGTTAGCGGAGGTAAGGCCTTACAGCGGTCAAGGCCACACACAGTCTTTAGTTACCACGCACGCACCCTCACGTTAGTTCCATCCTCACCTTGCGGCATCATCACAGGATAACAAACACCCAGCAAGCTGGCCTCTATCCTCCGCGCAACCCCAACAAGATCATCAAGAACACCTGTTCAAGCAAGATCCAGACTACGACAACTCAACGCTCTCACACTCCTCCAGCGGCCTCAGATTAAACGCCTTATACCCGCCCTGCCAACTCAACCCGACCCTTTCCCGCGCATACTGCCTCATCTCCTCCTCATACCTCGCGACGACATCCCCTCCACCCACCGTTTCACTCCCACCCTCCTTTGCCTCCACCATCCTCTCAACCAGCACCGCCGCATCCCTCAACGCCGTATTTACCCCCTGCCCACCAGTGGGCGGCATAACATGAACCGCATCCCCAAGAAGGGTGACCCTCGAATTACTCTCCCAAGCCGGCAAATCCGGCCTAACAGACGCCATCCTCAGCGTTGAAGTCTGCTCGACATCCTGCTCCTCCAGCAATACCCTCACAGAGGGATGCCAATCACTCGTCAACTCAAGCGACAACCGAGCCGACTCCTCCCCATCCAACCTGAGAACCTTCTCATCCGGCATATTCACAAAAGACCGATGAACAAGCAACACCCAATACAGATAATCCTCCGGCACCTTAACGCTTCCTCCCTCAAATTCAACGTCACCCTTCGGCATCCTCATTGGCTCAAACAACAACGTCTTCGGCGCCTCCTCCCTCAAATCCCTCGCAAGCGACATCCCCCTCCTGGCGCATTCATTCAACCTCCCCTCCACATCCTCCGTGATCCCCGTCTTCCCAAAGATCATTCTCATCCCCGTATCCACAAATGGATACCACGGCACCAACTGCCTCCTAACCCGCGACCTCGCTCCATCCGCACCAACAAGCAACCCTCCAACCGCGGAACTACCATCCGCGAAATGCGCGACTACACAATCATCCTTCACCTCATACCGCTCGAACCGCTTCCCGAAATGCACATTCTCCTCCCCAAGACGCTGCAGAAGGACCTCGCGCATCGTCCCCCGGTCCACAGTGTACGGTCTGGCTCCGTGGATCCCGGGCGGCGGACCACCACCACCACCAGCGGGGAGGGGTTCTCCGGTCAGTGCGTCGAGTCGGACTCCGACACCTGGGAGACCGTCATCCAGGGCAGCAGTTTTCTCGAATAGGGACCACATTTCGGGGGTGAGGAGGGTGCGGAGATTTTCTTGCATCACGCGTAGTCTGTAGCCTTGGGCGCGAAAGTCTTGCTTTGCGTCTCGTTCGAAGACGCTGAAGGGGATGTTGTGCTTGCGGAGACCTTGGGCTAGGGCGAGGCCGCCGAGGCCGCCGCCGGCTATCAGGACGCGGTTGGACATGAGGCTATGGGGTTGTAGGTGGGTAGGTGAGTAGTAGTGATTGTAAAAGAAGGTATAAATGATTAGAGATGTAAGTGATAGAAGAAGTAGAGTATTGTAGTTTGGCTCATAGGTAGGCACATCAAGGATCTATATACAAAGGAGGACTGGTTTAGCGTCGGTGGTTGATTGGGCCCGACTCACCGATCAAGCCTAGACGGCGCTGTAGCTCCGATTGACCGTCTTACTGGGGTTGAGCTATTAAATCCATCAATCTGTTTAGGAGCTAGTATTTATTTGATAATTGGCATAACTCATTGCCAGAAGATAGACTTCTCATAG